TTGCTGCTAACCTCATCTGCGGCCTCCTGCCTGATTTTTCATTTCGGCAAAACCTTCACCCTTGAAGACCCTGACGGGATTGCCGCGCTCCAGCAACCTGTGCAACTGGTTCTGCGCCGACCGGTCCCGCGCAAGGCTCTCCTCTCGCTTGAGGATGAACCGTGCCACCAGCCGGTCAAGGGCAACTCTACGGTTTCTGTGTTGTGAGCGTTCGTCGGTGGAGACGGCAACCAGTCCGGTCGGCAGGTGTGTGACCCGGACTCCACTGTCGGTGGTGTTCTGGTGCTGACCACCGGGACCACCGGAGCGGAAGGTCTCGATCCTGAGCGCACTGGTCTCCAGATCGATCTCCGGCAGGTCCGAATTGTCGATCGAAAACACGCCGACATACCAGTTCTGCCGTCTGTGATGTGCGCGGAAGGGGCTTTTACAGATCCATTGGACGGTGCCGATCCAGGTGTTCGTGAATTCCGGTATCTGGTTTCCGGACAGTGTAACCAGCGCGGATGACGGATCCGCGCCGTCGCAGCCACCTGACATATCTGAACTGAACCGTAAGTCGGCTCGCCTTGCCTCGTGTTCCATTTGACGAAGAACGTGGGCGGCGGCCCTGCGGCATTCACGGGGACCGTCACCGCTTGTCACCAGGAGGTGCTTTCGACTGGAAGTGTTCATCGCTTTGCCCTCCTATCCTTCAGGCGACCGTGTTTGTCCCGCCGCGCGGCTGCAAGTTCCCGGTTCACCGCCTTCTTGAACGTCAACAGCGGTTTCAGCGTTGCAACAGATTGTGCCAAATCGGACGTCCGCAGGTCGTCCAGCACCTGGTTAGGATCCTTGTACGCGTTCGGTGCTTCCTCGATGAGGAGCTGGCGATCCTCGCAGATGACGTGTCCACCAAACGATGTCCGGATCAATCCGTCCCGGTCGGAACGGGTCGTTCCGGCGCGACCGGCCATCGACCGGCGATCATATTTTCGGCCTGAGCCGTGGGCAAGCGAGGCGAGTGCCTCCGGCCTGTTGGCCTTTGGCACCAGCAGATAGCTAAGGGCATCCCGGGATCCGGCGAGCGGAACCAGCGGCATGTCGGCTTTTGCCGCGCCCTTCCTGTGCAGAAGCCCGTCGTCGTGCTCCTCAATCAGGTTGTGGGGTGCGTCCGCAACCAGCCGAAGGTCCGAGCGGAGCGCACGCGCGGCTCTTTCGGCAATCAGCCTTCTATTGAGGCTCGCCCAGCGAACCGCGTCGTTGTGCGCTGCCAGGTAGGTCCGTCCGACGGTGCTGTCGAGGTCCAGCCCGGAAAAACTCTCCAGAACCGTACCGAACACGGCCATGCCAAGTGATCTGGACCCGGAGTGCACCAGCAGCATCAGGTCGCCTTTCCTGATATCCGTGCCCGCAAGCAGGCAATCATCGGACAAGCTGTCGAGCTCCTGCAATTCACAGAAATGGTTGCCGCCGCCAATGGTCCCAAGCGCGACCGGATGAAGATCAGTCGGCAGGCCATCAGCTGCAAGACAAGCGCCGGGGTCTCCATGCCACGGTTCTTCCAGCACACGGATTTTCTGTGCGGCCTTGTCGAGCCGCAGTTTGCGGGCCGGCAGGTCGAGCGCAAACAGGCTCATGCCACAGCCGATATCGTTGCCGATCAGCTGAGGATAGATGCGGTCAGCCAGAATTGCGCTGCCGACCGGGCCGTATTTGCCTGGGTGGAGGTCCGGAAACGCGGCGACATGCGACACACCGGCCAACCTGGAGACAAGATCGAGCTGTTCTTCAGCCGCGCCTTCGATCCAGGTGGTCCTGGAATAGAAACGATGGATGGGCGCAGCATCACTTGAAGACGCTAGCCCTTCCTTTTGAGAAGTGCCCATTTGGGAACCCTTTTGAAAACAGGAAATACATCGGGTGCAAGTCGGTCTTGCACCGGATTGCCTCCACCGCACCGCGAGCGCGGATCAGTACAGGTTTGCCGCCGTCCTGGGCGCGCGCAACATGATCGTCATGTCTTTCTGTCCCGTCTTCAAAAGTCATTGTGCCGCTTGGCGCGATGGCTGTCACATAAGCCTTGGCCACGCAAACCACAACCCGCCAGCCTTCAGAGCGGACAGTTCGCTGGTGAGTGTTGTGGTTGTGCAACGAGGTCAGGCCGGCCGGGCATGCCCGGGGACGAAAAAGATCAGGCGCACCACCGGGCGCGCCTGAAATCGTCAGGGAGTGACTCTGTTTCTTGCCGTCGGGATCAAAACCGATCAAAGATCCTTGGCGGCGGTTGTGCGGATCTTTTCCAGTTTTCGTCGGCCTTGGCGATGGTCCCTGCCTCGTCCTTCTGGAATTCACGAAAGATCTCCTCGTTCAGGAAGAGATAGAGCTTGCCGTCGACGATGGCCGCAAACTGGGGATCGCCGTCGAACTTCTTGCCAACCGAAACGCCGAACGTGCAGAAGCCGCCGTTTTGCGGCAAGTACCCAGCCGGCTTTGCGGTGAACTTGTCCATGGTCTCCTTGGAGGAGAAATAATAGGCCACACCGTCGTGAACCGCCGTGTGACGGGCCGCGCCGTCAATCCGGTTGCCGAGATTGACGAAGGTGACGGGATCGACACCATGCATGCCAAGCGGGGCACCTGCAGCCGTAAGGCCGCTGGATGTGTTGTATTCGTCGGCCGAAAAGGCCGGGCTGGACAGGTTCGCAATGCTCAGAAGCGTTGCGGCGACAAGCGTCTTGGACAGGGACATATTGAATTCTCCTAATCTGGATCTGTAAGTCGTTCGGCCGGTCTTTGCACCAGCCATGTGTACTTTGCGTTCAGAATTTTGATTGATCCATGCTCAAAACCCCTCCAGAATTTGCTGATCGTCCGGCTTGTGCGCAAAAAGAAAACACCGGCGGGGAGCCGGTGCTTTTCAGGTTCAGATGCCGGGAAGGCGTTGATCGCAGGTGAGGTCATCACATTTTACGCGACCTGCGGTTCGGCGGCTTCCGGCTTGTGAAGGGAGACGACGGTCAGAACGGCGAGGGCGTTGACGACGTAGTAGGCGAAGTCGATGCCCTTGAAGCCGAGGACGAACGGAGCGGCCAGGAAGACGACACCGACCGCAAAATCGACGATCAGGTGAAACGAATAGGGTACGACCCGGATCAGGCCGGTTTCGTGATCGGTCAACATGGTCAGGATCAATGCCGCAACGCCGGTAACAACCGACAGCCAGAAAGCGAGCGGGTTGGACTGGCCGAGATTGAGGACCACCGGCAAACCAATCAGGCCGAGCGCGACCGGATAGTCCAGATAGGCATGGATGTTTTTGGTGACAAAGCGAATGTTCATGTCAAGCTCCTGGATAAAGGCTGGTTGGAGGCGTGTGCCTCTCGTGGCTTAAGATGATCCGCACCATCCGATTGATCCATGCACGAAAGTCCCTGAAAATTGACTGATCGTCCGGGACACTTGCGAAAGATAGGTAAATCACGCACAACAGGGGGAGACACTACCGAAGATGGAAACGCATGAGACATGACGCCCTTAGCCAGATCCTTGACGCGCTGAAGCTGCGTGGGTCGATCTATTTTCACACCAACTTCTCACCGCCCTGGGCAGTGCAGGTACCGGCATTCGGCAATGTTGCCCGGTTCCACATGGCCATGCGTGGAGCCTGTTGGCTCAAGGTTGAGGGCTATGCTTCGCCCATCTATCTTGCGACCGGAGACCTGGTGGTCATTCCGCACGGTGCAGCCCATGTCCTGTGCGACGAGCTTGGCCGGGAACCCACTTCCGTCGACCGGGTGCTTGAGGAGACCGGCTATACGGGGGAAGGTGCGCTGTATTTCGGTGGCCCGGAAGAAGAGCAGAGCTGCAAGCTTTTTTGCGGGCACTTCGAGTTCGAGGACGGCTCGGTTCATCCGATTCTGGAAGCGCTGCCGCAGGTCATTCATGTTCCCAATACGCAGACGATGAACGCCTTCTGGCTGGAAACGGTGATGCGCTTCGTTGCAAGCGAGGTTCGCGCGACCATGCCCGGCTCCGACGCCATCGTCCACAGGCTGACGGAGATCATCTTCATCCAGGTTGTGCGTACATTTGTCGACCAGCAGGGTGACAGGGCAGGGTGCCTCGCCGCAGTGCTCAACCCGAAGCTGGGGCGGTCGATGTCCCAGATCCACCTGGCTCCCGAACAGCCCTGGACCGTGGAAACGCTGGCTCGTGAGGCGGGTATGTCACGTACCGTGTTTGCCGAACGCTTTACCGATCTCGTCGGCATGACGCCGCTTGCCTATGTCACGCATTGGCGCATGGAAAAGGCCCGCCGGGACATCCACAACACCGACCTGCCGCTGATCGATATCGCGGAGAATATCGGCTACGCCTCGGAAGCTGCCTTCAACCGCGCCTTCAAGCGCCAGTTCAACCAGACACCGGGCCAGATGCGGCGCATGGGGGCGGACGTGGCTGCGGAGCGAATATGATGGTTTCGTGCTGATGGCCTCCAACCCATGTCCGGCAGTCGACAAAGGGCTGTAGTCTTCCCGATTTTGAGCTCATCCTTCGAGACAGTGCTGTCACCAATCCCCGGGGACGCGCAGAAACACCGTTGTTCACCTTGTCCTTCAGGGGTGACCCCGGACGCGGCGGAGCGAAGATCCGGGACGACGCGAGTTGTGACTGTCCGCGATGTGCAGGATTTTCAAACTTCATCCTACAAGACAAAGGGGCGGAAAATTCCGCCCCTCGCGATCGCAATCATGTTTTGTTGCTTAGCCGATAATGCCGTTCAGCGTTGCGCTCGGGCGCATCACTGCGTCGACCTTCGCCTGCGGCGCGTGGTAGTAGCCGCCGGTGTCTGCCGAAGAGCCCTGGACGCTGTTGAGTTCGCCGACGATCTTGTCTTCGTTGGAGGAAAGCGCCTCGGCAATCGGTGTGAAGTGAGCCTTCAGCTCCGCGTCCTTGTCCTGGGCGGCAAGCGCCTTTGCCCAATAGAGCGCGATGTAGAAATGGCTGCCCCGGTTGTCGAGGCCGCCGACGCGGCGCGCGGGCGACTTGCCGTTGTCGAGCAGGCCTTCAATCGCCGTATCGAGAGCATCTGCCAGGACCTGTGCCTTGGCGTTGTCCTTGGCATTGGCGAGATGTTCGAGCGACGCGCCAAGGGCACAGAATTCACCGAGTGAATCCCAGCGGAGGTAATTTTCCTCCTGAAGCTGCTGGACGTGCTTGGGAGCGGAGCCACCGGCACCGGTCTCGAACAGGCCGCCACCGTTCATCAGCGGGACGATCGACAGCATCTTCGCCGACGTGCCGACTTCCAGGATCGGATAAAGGTCGGTCAGGTAATCGCGCAGGACGTTGCCGGTATTTGCAATCGTGTCCTCGCCGCGGGCAATGCGTTCGGTGGTGTATTTTGCCGCTTCCGTCGGAGCCATGATTTTCAGGTCCAGACCGGACGTGTCGTGCTCCGGCAGGTAGGTGTTGACCTTCTTGATCAGCTCCGCGTCATGGGCGCGGTTCTCGTTGAGCCAGAAGATGCCCGGCATGCCGGAAAGACGCGAGCGGGAGACGCCGAGCTTGACCCAGTCACGGATCGGCGCATCCTTTGTGCGGCACGCGCGCCAGACATCACCTTCCTCGACTTCGTGTGAAATCAGCGTGTTGCCGGCTTCATCAACAATGCGGATGGTCCCGTCGGCAGGCGCCTTGAAGGTCTGCGGGTGGGAACCGTATTCCTCGGCCTTCTGGGCCATCAGGCCGACATTCGGCACTGTCCCCATCTTGGATGGATCCAGCGCACCGTTTTCACGGCAGAAATCGATGACGGCGGAATAGACGCCGGCGTAGGAGGAATCTGGAATGACGCATTTGGCGTCTTGTTCCTTGCCGTCCGGGCCCCAGCCCTTGCCACCGGCGCGGATCAGCGCCGGCATGGAAGCGTCGATGATGACGTCAGAAGACACATGCAGGTTGGTGATGCCCTTGTCGGAGTTCACCATGTAGAGGTCCGGGCCGTTGTCGAGTGCTGCCTTGATATCGGCTTCAACCTCGGCGCGCTTGTCCGCCGGCAGCGTCGCGACCTTGGCTTCCAGGTCGCCGACACCGAGATCCGGGTTGACACCGAGTTCGGCAAAGGTGGCGGCGTGTTTTTCAAAGACGTCCTTCAGGAAGGCCTTGACGCAATGGCCGAAGAGGATCGGGTCGGAGACCTTCATCATGGTGGCCTTGAGGTGCAGCGAGAACAGGACACCCTGGTCCCGGGCGTCCTGGATTTCCTTTTCAAGAAACGCTTTCAGCGCCTTGACGCTCATGTAGGTCGCGTCGATGACGTCGCCTTCTTCCAGCGGCCAGTCTGTTTTCAGTACCGTCAGGTCGCCACCTTTTGCGTCGAACTCGATCTTGGCGGCACCGGTGGAAACGGCCGGGACCGTGACCGACTTTTCGTTCGAGCGGAAGTCATTTTCACCCATCGTGGCGACATGTGTTTTTGAAGATGTCGCCCATGCCCCCATGCGGTGGGGGTTCTTCTTGGCATATTCCTTGACCGCCTTGGGTGCGCGGCGGTCGGAATTGCCTTCGCGCAGAACCGGGTTCACTGCGGAGCCCTTGATGGCGTCGTATTTCGACTTGATCGTCTTTTCTTCCTCGTTCGCCGGGTCAGACGGATAATCGGGCAGCTTATAGCCTTGCGACTGGAGTTCGGCGATCGCTGCATTCAGCTGAGGCTGGGAAGCGGAGATGTTCGGCAGCTTGATGACGTTGGCGTCCGGCTGCTTCACCATCTGGCCAAGTTCCGCAAGAGCATCGGACTGTTTCTGAGTGTCGGTCAGATACTCGGGGAAATTCGCCAGGATGCGGCCTGCGAGAGAAATGTCCCGGGTGCCGATGGTGAGCCTGGCCGCCTTGGTGAAGGTGCGGATGATGGGCAGGAACGAGGCGCTTGCCAGTTCGGGCGCTTCGTCGACCTTGGTGTAGATGATATCGGCCATGGTGCTCACATTTCCCAGTGTTCGAAGTGGGGTCGGCGAGGACTTTTCGGCGTCCCCGGACGGAATTTCGACCAGCGTATACAATTGTACGCAATCAAAAGCCAGCCCTTCTAAAGACAAAGGCCGTTGATCGGGCACGTTCTAGCAAACGGGCGGGAAATGTCTATCGACAACGTTCAGAGCGGATGGCTGCATGTTGTCTGGCGGGTGGCGCCAAGCGGATGAATATTGATCAAGAAGAAAACCTAACTTTTCGCGATCAAAGGCCATCCCGTCGAGCGGATAAGAACCACTGGCACCAGGCCCTTGATTGAACCACGTTTTGAACAGTATCCGGTAGCGCGGAAGAAGATAAATCCTATCGGTTACTTCGATAAAAAGGGCACCAAAAAATCCAAACTCATCAACACGTATTTCAGTTATTTGGTGCCAGGGAACTGCTTTCTCGAATACACGCTTATCGAAAAAACCGTCCGGCCCGATCATGATGACTGGTCTGTCCGCATTCCACAGTTGCGTAATACTGAAAAAAGCAATCGCACCAAAAAAGAGAGTTCCAACCGCCGTAGACAGCCCTCCTTTGGTTAGAAATTCTCCTGTTGCAATTGAGTGATAACAAGCAAACGCACACAGTATTGATAAAGGCAACGATATTACAAAGCCAAGTAAGAGATATCTGACTGAACGTCTGATCTTGATGGTCTCGCTGGGATCAATTTGCATTTTCGGAGTTCATGTTGGGGCGATTGTGGTCGATGTGCCATATAAACTCCAAGTTTTAATTGTGCGTTACGGTCTCGTGGAACGAATCCAAAATGGTTTTGCCGTCAATTTGCTTAGATAGTCTTCCTACAGCATTTACAGTATGAAAGCGCCAAACTCCGGACGCGATTTTTCAATGCCAACTTCATGCTTTTGGCGTCTACTGGATCCCTGCCTGCGCAGGGATGACAAATTGGAGAGAGTTGTTGTCTTGAATTGGAGCAAATAGTCTTTTCGATTGTTGTCATCCCGGCCAAGCGCAGCGCGAGCCGGGAACCAGTAATCAGTAATCAGTAACCCGCAGAGTTTTGGTTCGAAGCGATTTGTGTTTACTCGATGCCTGCTTTCGCAGGGATGACAAATCTGGGTATTCTGAGACATTCCGGCGAAGAGGCGAGGCAGGCTTGCATCTCGATCAGCAGTACTACGTTTACATTCTGGCGAGCGACCTTGGCGGAACGCTTTATGTTGGTGTTACCAATGCCTTGTTAAATCGCCTTTATGAGCATCGTGAAGGAAGAGGCAGCGCGTTTACCGCGAAATACGGTGTCCATAGGCTCGTTTATTTCGAAATCCATGAGGAGATCGAGCAGGCGATCAAGCGTGAAAAGCAGATCAAGCGCTGGAAACGGGCTTGGAAGATAAGCCTGATCGAAGAACGCAATCCCAACTGGGATGATCTTTCATTAGGGCTTTGGTGAAAGTCCTTGTCATACCGGGAACAGTGTTTTTTAGACGCGGTCCTTTATCGGGCCAAATCCTTGATGAGCCTTGAGGTTGGTGTCTACTGGATCCCTGCCTGCGCAGGGATGACAAGATTGGGTCCAGGGGCATTCCTGAACTCAAGGGAACGGCTCCTTCCCGGGTTGTCATCCCGGCCAGGCGCAGTGCGAACCAGTAAATCGACGGGATTTGGTTCGAAACGAAGGGTCCATGTCTTCTGGATTCCTGCTTTTGCAGAGGTGACAAGATTGGGTCTTGGGGCATTCCTGAACTCAAGGAAACGGCTTTTTCCCCGGTCGTCCTGGCCAATCACAACGCAAGCCGGGAACCAGTGACCCGTGAGGTTTCGGTCTGAAAAGGAGGTTCTGCGTCTACTGGACCCCTGCTTTCGCAGGGGTGACAAGACAGGATCTTGTTTTTTTGCTGGAGTATTTCGACCTCGCGATTGTTGTCATCCCGGCCAAGCGCAGCGCGAGCCGGGAACCAGTATTCCGTGGGGTTTCGGATTGAAACGGTGGATCCCTATTTAGTTGACCCTAGCCTTCGCGGCGAAGACAAGCTTGGTGAAGGTTATTTTATCAAACTGAAGACAAAAATGCCGACCCTTTTCCCTTCGGGCACAGCAGTGCAGTGATGCTTGGTCCGGGAAATACCGGTGTCGGCGGCCAGAGGCGGGTGCTGCGCGTTTCGGTTTTCGGCCTTGGCATCGCTGCGCCGGGATGACTAAATGAGTTTCGCGGAGGTTGCGTCACCTGGAGCCGTCGATGCCAGACACACAAAAACTCGAAGATCTGTTCTTGTGGATGCTCGATGGTGCGCGGCCGAGTGCGGATGCGCGGGAGATCGTCTCCGGGATCTGTGAAGGGTTGCTGGCGGCCGGTGTACCCGTCGAGCGGTTTGCGCTTTTTATCTATACGCTCCATCCCAACCTTCAGGGACGCCGGTTCCGCTGGCTCAAAGGTGAGGGCGTCGATCAGTCAGATGCGGACCTCAAGGCCTTTGACGGGGCCGAATACCACGACAACCCGCTACCGACAGTTCTGAGAACGGGCAAGCCCTTGCGGCGAAAACTCTGCGATCCGGGCAGTCCGGATGATTTTCTCATTCTGAAACAGTTCCGCGAGGAAGGCGTTACCGACTATGTCGTTCAGCCACTCTTCTTCACGACCGGTGAAACGCATCTGGTCAGTTGGGCGACGAAGGCCGATGGCGGCTTTGACGAAGAGATGATAGCGGCGCTCGAAAAGATCCGCCTGCCACTCGCCCGTCTGGCCGAAACCTACATGCTGCGTCTCAACGCCGCCAACCTCTTGTCCGCCTATGTGGGCCGGGACAGCGGCAACAGGATCCTGTCGGGCCGCGTGCATCGCGGCGACATAGAGGAGATTTCCGCCTGCGTCGTCTTTGCCGACCTGGTCTCGTTCACGCGTTTCTCCAACGATGCGTCTGCCGAAGAGGTCCTTGCACGTCTCAATCTCTTCTACGACTGTCTTGTACCGCCGATTGTCGAAGGCGGTGGCGAGATCCTGAAATTCATGGGCGACGGCCTGCTCGCGATTTTTCCGATTTCCGATGAGGTTGACGAGAGAACGGCTTGCGAACGTGCCCTGGAGGCGCTCAGCGTTGCCTCTGGCGGTGCGTGGACGCCGGTCTTTTCCGAGACCGTTCCTCCTTTCCGGGCTGCCGTCCATATCGGACCGCTGCAATACGGCAATATCGGAGCGTCCGACCGGCTGGATTTCACGGCCATAGGGCCGACAGTGAACCTTGCCGCGCGCTTGCTCGCCTCTGCGGTCCTTGTCGATGGTCAAACAGTCGTCTCTGAGCGGGTTGCGGATCTGGCTGGACTATCAAAAGCCGGAGCGCCGTCCTTCGAACTCAAGGGTTTCGACAGGACGCAGGTGATCGTGCCGGTCCGGGAGATGCCGAAATCATGAAAGCCGAGCCCGGCAAGACGTATGGGTGTCTTGCCGGACGGTCAAAAGGTTCGGAAAGCGGCCGGTTCTAGCGCCCGCTGACGGCGTCGCTCAGGGCTGGGAAACGGACAATCCGGTAGGTCCCGAGCGAGGCGTCCTCGCCGCCGTTCAATACCGGCGAGCGGTGCAGTTCGTTGATGGTCGCATAGACATAGCCGTCCGCACCGATCGAGAACCCGTCCGGCCAGGGCAGGTCTTCGTCGGACTGGAACAGTACCTCGTAGCTGCCATCCGGCTTGGTCACGCCGATAGCGTTGTCGGTCATAGCCGTGATGTAAACATTGCCTCCGGTGTCGACCGTGGAGCCATCGGAGATCGGCTTGTCACCATACCGTTCGACGCGCGCGGCAAGGTCCTCATCGCCCAACTCTTCATTGAGAAGATCGGATGTCCTGACCCGGTACATCGCACTTGCGGTCATCGGCGCGAAATAGACCCAGGTATTGGTCGGGTCGACCGTGATCGGGTTCACGCCGATCTTTGCCGGATTGCCGCCGAGCAGGATTTCACGTCCGTCGATCACCATGGGTGTGTCTTCAGGCGTTGTGAATTCGGAGCCCTCCAGAACACGACGGGCGCGGCCCGTTTCAAGGTCGACGACGATGAGCGCGGAATTCACGCCGTCTCCGGTGTCGGAAATGTAGATCGCCTCATGATCCCGGTCGACGGCCAGATCGTTCAGGAAGGAGGTCGGCCGGGAACCCGGTGCACCGATATAGTGGATTGCGTGCAGCTGTTCAGTCTTCGTGTTCCAGCCAACGATGCGGCCCGTCTGGTTCTCGCCCTGGCCGTCGAGCATCCATAATATGCCGTCACGGTCCGCACGCAGGCCGAGAACCCCGTTGAGGCCATTGCCGTCTTCCTTTGGCGCATGTGCCCAGCTTTCATTTGGATAGGGCCGGGTCGACCCATCCTTCAGGACTTCGACGACGCGCAGTTCAGGACCGTAGAATTCATGGACGGACATGAACATGCGTCCGTCCGGAGCAATCGCCAGGTTTCCCGGCGGCATAGACTTGTCAAAACTGAGATAGGTTTCCAGTCCGTCTGCGGTTGCTGGAAAGGCCAGCGCGGTGCTGATGCCGACTGCAGCCAAAAAGCGTTTCATGGGGTCCTCCGGATGTTGATCAGGAGGGTTTAGTTGTTCTAGATTTCGAACAGAACTCCCTGAAATTCAAAAGCAGCGTTAGAAAAATTCGAATGTACAGTATTCCGGATCTGCAGACCTTTGTCTCTGTTGCCAAAACCGGTGGCATCACGTCCGCCGCAAGACATCTCGGTATCTCGACAGCAACGACCAGTCACCGGATCGCAAAGCTGGAACGGGTTCTGAAAGTGACCCTCTTTCACCGCAACAGCCGCACGTTTCGCCTGACGGACGAGGGGCAGGTATTCCTGGAGCGTGTGGATACCGTTCTGGAGGACCTGCAACAGGCGGAACTCGATGTCGGCAGTGGAACTGCATCCCTGCGTGGCCATCTGCGTGTGACGATGTCGCCCTGGATCCTGTCGCGCTTCATCATGCCGGAGATGCGCGAATTTCGTGAGCATCATCCTGATCTCACAATCGAGTTCCTGGCCGTCGATCGTTTTGTGCCGCTGGTTGAGGAGGGTCAGGATTGCGCAATCAGGGTTGGCCAGCTGGATGACAGTTCCCTGGTTGCCCAGAAGCTCAGCGACAACGAGCGGATCATCTGCGCATCCCCGGATCTTTTGTCGAGCTCGGGAGACCCGAAATCCGTGGAGGACCTCAAAGATGCACCCTGGGTCTGCCTTCCCTGGCAGACACGTTTCGATGTCAACGACGCAAGAGGCCGAAAGCGTTCCTTTTCGGTGGGCCGGAGTGTTGCCGTTTCCAATTCAGACATGCTGACAGCCGGTGCGGTCGAAGGACTCGGTCTTGCGATCAAATCCCGCATGGCCGTCAAGGACGAACTCGACAAGGGTATCCTGGTCGAAATTCTGCCCGGATGCCTTCATTCTCCCGAAGCACCTGTCTGGTTTGTCTTTGCACCGGAAAGCCGGACGGGGCGCAAGACGAAAGCGTTTCGGGATGTGGCAAGGCGTTCATTCCGGCGTTGAAATCGAACGCGGCCAGCTTTTCATTTTCAGGAAGACGGGCTAAACCCCGGCATTATGAGCAAAAACGCAAAAATCAGGGACGAAGCCAGGACGGTGACTGCCCGACCGCCTGCAGTGATCCTGTGCGAGCCGCAGCTGGGTGAAAACATCGGAACCGCAGCGCGGGCAATGGCGAATTTCGGTCTGGTCGACCTTCGGATTGTCAACCCGCGCGACGGCTGGCCGAGTGAAAAGGCGCGTGCTGCGGCAAGCCGGGCAGACCATGTGATCGACAAGGTGCAGGTGTTTGACAGCGTTGAGGCGGCGATCGCGGACCTGCAGTTCGTCTTTGCAACGACAGCGCGGTCTCGCGAAGTGCCGAAACCCGTTCGCAGCCCTGACGAATCTGCAAGGAAATCGGTCGAGTTCGGAGAAAATGGTCACGCTACCGGTTATCTCTTCGGACGCGAGCGTTGGGGTCTCAACAATGAGGAAGTCGCGCTGGCCGACGAGATTGTCACGCTGCCCGTTGACCCCGATTTCGCGTCTCTGAACATTGCCCAGGCTGTGCTGGTGTGCGCCTACGAATGGCGCAAGACGGCAACGTCCGGCGCGTTGCCTTTCATCTTGTCGAAGGATGAACATCCGCCGGCGAAAAAAGACGATCTCCTGAGGTTTTTCGAGCATCTGGAAGGTGCGCTCGACGAAGCGACATTTTTTCGTCCACCGGAGCGGCGCCCGCATATGGTGCGCACGCTTCGAAACATTTTCCAGAAGGCGGAGCTGACGGAACAGGAGGTCCGGGCGTTGCGAGGTGTTGTCGCGTCCCTGGAAAAACGGCAAACCCGGGTGCGCAAGGAGCGCAGCACTGACGGCGGCGAAGAGTAGGAGAAGGCATTTGGGCTCGAACGGTCCGGTTCTGATTTTCGATTCCGGCCTTGGCGGGCTCACGGTGCTGCGCGAAGCGCGCTACCTGCTTCCCTACGAAACCCTGCTTTATGTCGCCGATGACGCGGCCTTTCCGATCGGCCGCTGGCCGGAAGCGGACCTCAGGGACCGCATGCTGTCGCTTTTCGGTGAGCTTATCGCCATCCACCGGCCCAAAGCGATCGTCATTGCCTGCAATACGGCCTTTACGCTGGCAGGCGATGCGCTTCGCAAAGCCTACCCGGATGTGCCCTTTGTCGGCACAGTGCCTGCGATCAAGCCGGCGGCAGAACGAACGTCTTCAGGTCTCATTTCGGTGCTGGCAACACCTGGAACCGTGCGCAGGACGTATACCAGGAGCCTGATCGACAGCTTTGCCAAGCAATGCCACGTGCGTCTTGTCGGTTCGGATAACCTTGCGGAACTTTCTGAACGCCATTTGCGCGGCGAGACTGTTTCCAACGAGGAGCTGCTCACCGAGATTTCGGGTTGTTTCCTGGAACGCGACGGGCGGCGGACCGACATTGTCGTGCTGGCCTGCACGCATTATCCGTTTCTGGCAAACCGTTTCCGCAGGATCGCGCCCTGGCCGGTCGACTGGCTTGATCCCGCAGAAGCGATAGCGCGTCAGCTTGTTCGTGTGCTTGGAGCAAAGGCTGCAAGCAGCCCGTCGAGTGATCCGGATCGCGCTCTGTTCACATCAAATCCCGATGATCCGGGGCTTTCGCGGTTGCTGGCAGGTTTCGGCCTGATGCTCAGCGCGGCAAACGGAGCTTAGGCGGCCAGTTTCTTGACGACTATTCCGTCGTCGGCCCGCTTTGCTTCCAGTTTCAATTCGCTGATCTCGTCGTTCAGCTTGTCAGGGTGAATGACCATGCCTCTTGGCAGGCTCAGGATCGAAATCGAGCATTGCAACAGTGGAAACTGGCGGGTCGTTCCGAAGCGGTCCTGCGCCTCGATGTAACCCAGTTCCCTGTGCCCCGTTTCGTAAAAGCTCTCCACATCGACACGAAAGGCACGTTTGAGGGCGAGCATGCGGGTGGCCACATCCGTCTGGTCGGTGTTTTGAAATCCGGCGAAGAAATCGTCGCCACCGATATGCCCGTGAAATGTTCCGGACCCGGAGACATGGCGCTGCAGCAATTCACTGAACAGGATAATCGCCCGGTCCCCCTGGCGATAGCCGTAGGTATCGTTGAACGGCGTGAAGTTGTCGAAGTCCAGGTAACACAGATGACGGTCGTGTGTGCCTTTCCGGGCGGTCTCCGAAATATAACGCGAGATTGCGCCGTTGCCCGGCATACGGGTCAGCGGGTTCTGGTCCTGGGCTTCCTGAAGGCGTTTTTCGTGAATGATCTTCAGCAGAGACGTGGCTGAAAGGAAACCGGCGTAGCGGAAATTCTCCGTGATGATGATGCCATCGGAGTTGATCGAGGAGGCAAAGGTTACCAGCAGCATGTCGGCGTTGGAATCTATGTCTGCGATCGGGCAGGCGCGTACGAATGAGCGCAGGGGGAAATCGAGTGCGATCCGCGTATCGGTGTCGTCATCCTTGCCACCGGCATAAAGATACGCCTTCAGATCGCGTTCGTGGATCAGGCCGCGCGGTTCCTGGTTTTCGTCCAGGACGGGAATGACGTTTCCTTCCTGGTTGTGAACGACCATGTCGAGCAGTTCGGTCATGGTTGCGCCGAACCCGATGGTGGGGAGCTGCAGCAATTCGTTCCGAATCCTGTCCTGTTCCACGCGCCGTTTGTGTCCGGCGCCCGGCTCCCGGACATGATCGTAGAACAGCTTTGCCGACGCCGCCTTGTGAAAGGGCCGGGCAACGAAGGAGCCCTGGACCAGGTCACAGCCAATATTCCTGCAGGCCTTGAATTCCCGCTCGGTCTCCACCCCTGAAGCAATCACGCGTGCACCAAGAACATGCGCAAGATTGGCAACGGTTGTGACGAACAGGTTCCGTCGCGGATCGCTGTCGACGCCGTTCAGGAAAAATCGGCCGATCTTGACGTAGTCCGGAGAGACGTCGTGCAACAGGCGCAGCTCCGACGATCCTCGTCCGAAATTGTCCAATGCGACGAGAAAACCCATCTGGCGCAGATCGCTGATGGCGTGCTGCGTTGCGTCGGCGATGGAGTGCTGATGGCGTTCGGAAAATTCGATGCAGACCTGGTTGTTCTGCAAACCGGCCGCTGCAACGAGCTCTGTCAGGTGCATGCGTGGATCCGCCTGCAGTCCGAGATCGCGTCCGTCAATTCTGAAAAAAAGCTTGGTGCCCTGTGCCGTGCGGAGCTTCCCGAAACGGCTCAGAGCCTTTGCGAACAGACTTGCTTCGAGATCGGGCAGGAATCCTTCCGCATAGGCATCATCAAGCAGTTCATCAATCGTGGGTGCGTCTTCACAGTCGCCATTATCAAGCTGTGCTTCATAACCATAGACGACGCCTGTACCAATGTCGGTAATCGGCTGAAGCGCGTAATCCAGACCTTCAAGAATGGCGTCGCGAGACCGCGGAAACGGTTTCACACTGTCCTTGCCAGTCTCTGGTTCTGAATTGCGTTGTGATGACATGCTTGATCCTTAGTCCAAGTCGGGCTTCCATTTTGATGCTGAATGGATGGGAATAATACTCACTATGGCCACTGGTATTATTATCCATAGTTGTGGCGCGGATTGCATAGTGAAAAGCTGCAATTAACATATTCTAAATGTATGCATTGTTTTTCCGCAAATGTGAACTTTTGAAGCAATTCGTGTAGTGAGTCCGCCAAATTTCGTGCAAATTTGGCGAAGTTCTGCCAATTCTTACGTGTTTTCACTTAGGCTATGGGATTGGTGCCGAGCAAAGCGCAGCAGCCCGAATCGCAACTGCCACACACGCGGAGTTGCCAGAAACCCGTTTCTGATAATATCAGTCACGAGTTGTCCGGCACTTGGTTGTGTCGCCCGATTGCCCGAAATGGCTGGTTTCTATTGCTGACGCCGGCGCAAAAGGAGATGCCGGCGTTGACATTCTGAAGTGCACGCTGTATCTCCGCGCGATCCGGCAGGCTCAGGCCTTCCGGGTCTACGCACCCGGGGGTATTCAGCCGGCGCCGTCTAGCTGGGTCCCTGTCGATCCGAGCAGGAGCTTAATCACTTCTGCAACGATAAAGGAGGGCGCGTTTCCTTTTAGAACAACAACGCGAATTCAAAGGAAACCGCGATGTCAAAGCGCCACAGCGTTAAGTACAAAATCGACCGCCGGATGGGCGAAAACATCTGGGGTCGTCCGAAGAGCCCGGCCAACAAGCGTGAATACGGCCCGGGCCAGCATGGCCAGCGCCGCAAGGGCAAACTGTCCGACTTCGGTGTTCAGCTCCGCGCCAAGCAGAAGCTGAAGGGTTATTACGGCAACATCTCCGAAAAGCAGTTCCGCAAGGTTTATTCCGAAGCATCGCGCCTGAAAGGTGATACTTCCGAAAACCTGATCGGCCTGCTGGAGCGTCGCCTCGACGCGGTTATCTACCGTGCCAAGTTCGTTCCGACCGTGTTTGCGGCCCGTCAGTTCATCAACCACGGCCACATCAAGGTCAACGGCAAGCGTGTGAACATCCCGAGCTACCAGTTGCGCCCGGGCGATGTCATCGAAGTTCGCGAAAAGTCCAAGCAGCTCGGACTGGTGCTGGAAGCTATCCAGTCAGCAGAACGTGACGTGCCGGACTATGTCGACGCCGATCATTCCAAAATGTCCGCGACCTACAACCGTATCCCGGGTTTTTCCGATGTGCCCTATCCGGTACAGATGGAACCGAACCTGGTTGTCGAGTTCTATTCGCGCTAATCAGCGTCGAATATGGTTCAAGGAAGGCCCGCCATTCGGCGGGCCTTTTCTTTGGTGATTTACGAGCATCCTTTCTCCTTCATCGCCGTTCCAGGCAAACGATCGTGTCTGTTACTGTGCCCTTCTGACCTTCAGGGCCTGTTGCGATGCGGTCTTCATTGCCGACGAAAATCTCCTTCCAACCGGACATATTCAGGCCAAGTGTCTTCAGGCACTGGTGCGGGGTGGGGAAGGGCGCGGTTGATTTGTCCCATGACCATGATGGTCGCGAGCCGTGAGTGGCAGCGATGAAAAGACCGCCGGAATTCAAGCAAAGTGCCGCGTGTTTGAGAACCCGTTCTCGTGGAAAGTCGAATGGCGCCTGCAGAAACATTGCCGAAACGAGATCATACCTGTTTTCCGGGAAAGAAACTGCAAGATCATGATGCTGTAGTTCGATCCGGTCACCAACCTGCTGAGAATTCGCGTTCGTCCGTGCGTAAGACAATACGGTTTCCGAAATATCAACCGCAATGACCTTCCAGCCACGTTTTGCCAGCCATACAGCGTCGTCTCCCCTGGCGCAGCCGAGATCGAGGGCGGTACCCGGGTGTCGATCCACGGCAAATCTGGCCAGCGCCGCAGACGGATTTCCCTTCGTATCGGCGGATGACCTCTTGTAGAGGTCTTCCCAGAAGTCCGGGGGGGTTTGATGGTTTTGCGGCTTCATCATGTATTGTTTTCCTTAATGCAGACACAGGTGGCGGCAAGCAACAGGTAGATGCCGATCGGGAACAGGAGGGCGTTTTGTGCGGCGTGGACATAGTCTGCCGGATCCTGGGCCTGCTCGAGACCCGCAAAGAAGATCTGCCCGACGGCGCCGATGCCGAGTGCGATGCCCACTTGCTGAAACGCCTGCAAAACACCGGATCCTGCGCCTGCATCAGATGGGGAGACACGGGACAGTGTACTTTGGAACATCGCGGCAATGGCCGTGCCCGTTCCCAGTCCGACGGTCAACATGGGCAATAAAAGATCAACGGCTGTGATCGACATCGAATTGGTGCCCAGAACGGTTCTTGCCATCGTCATGCCTGCGAGCAACACGAAGGTGCCGAAGGCGATGCGGGCCCCAAGCCATCTTTGACCTAACCGGCTGGTGAGTGTGGAGGCGACCATAACGCCAACCGGGTGGGGTGCCGTCGCCAGTCCGGATTGGAGTGCCGAAAGTCCGACCCCGGACTGCAGAAATATCGCAAGCATGAAGTGAACTCCGGCTATGCCGGAGAAAAAGATGGTGACAATGACAAGACTGCGCACGAAAAACCGGTCCTTCATGAGGTTTGCCGGCAATATTTGCGGAAGCCCACAGCGGGTACGATGCAATTGCAGTTGGATGAAAATCAGTGCAAGAACGACCGACAAGCCTAGAAGGGCGAAACACCACCAGGGCCATCCAAATTGCCGCCCCTCAGTCAGGGGAAATGTGAGGGCAGCGACGGCAAGTGCGAACAGGAGTGATCCGCTCCAGTCCGGTTTGATGTAGCCGCAAGGTTCGATGTCAGGGACGAAACGCAACGCACCCGCGAGACACACGAGCCCCAAGGGAACGTTCATCAGAAAGATCGGTCGCCACTCCAATCCGGCTACATTGGCCGAGATCATTGTGCCGCCAATCAGGGGACCCGCAACCGCGCCGAGGGCACTGACCGTACCGTACAACCCGATGAGTTTTGCCTTTTCTTGTGGCGCAAACATTACGTGCACAATTGCGAGAACTTGCGGGACCATCATCGAGGCGGTCAGGCCCTGGAGGGCCCGGGCGGCAATTAGCAATTCGATATCAGGTGCAAGGCCGCAGGCAAGCGAACTTACCAAAAACCCTGCAACGCCGAAGTTGAAAATTCGCTTGCGGCCAAAGGAATCTCCGAACCGGCCGAAGGGTAACAGGCCTGATGCAAACATAAGTATGTAGGCGATCAATACCCATTCCAGTTGAGACGTTGTGGCATCAAACTCGTTTCGGATTGAGGGCAGGGCAAGGTTTACAATTGTTACGTCCAGTATGTTCATGAAAGCTCCCAGAAACAGGGAAGCGACCGCGAGCCGAGGCTGCGCGCCATGTCCGGGATTTGCGAGAACAAGTGACATCGGGAACTCCACAAACGGGAATGGGAGTCATTTCATGTAACTTGGTAAGTTTCATGAAATGAAATGTCAATATCTTGTAACTTTGTTTGTTGCAAATTGTAGTGTCGTGTATGATGATCAAAAGGAGAAACCGTTGCCGACCGACAGCCGCCTGCCAAGAGTGCTTCATGTCCTTCTGCACCTTGACCAGACCGAAGACCCAGTGACCTCCGATCAGATCGGACAGATGCTCATGACCAATCCCGCACTGGTCCGGAGGGTCATGGGAGGGCTCAGAAAGGCCGGTCTCGTTTCATCAAGCAAGGGACATGGTGGCGGCTGGTATCTGGTCAGGTCGCTCACGGAGATATCCCTGGCGGATGTTTACGCAGCTCTCGGTTCACCGCAGCTTTTCGCGGTCGGGCCATCGTCCGACAATCCGTCATGTCTGCTGGAACGGGCGGCCAACAAGGCAACCGGCAATGCGCTCGAGGCAGCAAAGCTGGTCTTCAATACCGAGCTTGAGAAGATGACGGTTGCCGAGCTCGTCCGACCGCATGCGCAGACCATTAAGGCTCATCAGCGGCAGCGAAATCCTTCAACAGAGTGAGATCAAGAGTACTCAGGCACGTGCGCATTTCCGCATTGCAAAGGATCTGTAGGCGGGATGAAAAGTTGCAAAAAAGATAGTTACACGTATTTTTGTAAGCGAATGCTGCGCCATTTCAGGTCAGACGACTATCCGACTTTCTTGCGCCTGGTCATTTTTTGCAACTAGCGAACTGTTTTTCTCTCTCCACCCAGTTCATCAATCAGGACAGAAGAAGCGCCGCGTTCTTCGGCTTTCTTTTGCCGAATTTCGCCAGTGAACAGGTGCTGGAATTCAAGAACCGTATAGGGGCGTTGCCAGAGCCATTCGCGGTTTTCGACAGCATTGACGTCTGTGTCCGGTGGTGTGTCTTCTGTATAGGCAAGGAAATAGAGGCAAAATCCAAGATCGGCCAGGTCCTGCCGGGACAGATACCTCATGCCGAGTGTGTCGTGGCAGTTCATGAGCTCCGTCTCGATGTCATCAGTCCGCAGAGTGATCAGTCCAATGCGGGCCCCTCCGCCGAGGGGAAGTTCCACATTGCCTTGTTTCGTCTTTGGTTTTCCGTGAAAGGTGTGCTGGATCAGCTCGATGACATGACCTTCAGGGTCGGCGAGATGGCTCATATAGGCGATGTCGCGAAACTGCGCTGGTTCAGTGACGTCGATACCGGCGCTGCGCAGCTGGGCAAATGCGACGTCAAGGTCCGGCAGCGTGATGGCAATCTTCCAATAGCGGTCGTTCCGGTCCGGTTGATAGGGAGTGGACTGGTCGCGGCGCACCAATTCCAGTCGAGCGTCTTCGCCTGCGTATCCAAGTGAGACAGCTCCTCCGGCATTCGCGAGCAAGTTCATGCCGAGGACATCACAATAGAACCGGGAAAGACCTGATGGGTCGGAAACATTGAGGGACAGGGCAGATATCCGGGGCAGGGGCATGGGATCATGTTTTCCTGGAATATGATGACGCGGTGTCTCAGTCAGAGTTTCAATCGCCACACACAGACGCTTTGCTCTGATAGCCGACAATGTTTCCACGGCTATCAAGTGAAAAGTCGCAGCAATTCTGAAACAATGCCAAAAGCTTGGCACGGCTGCTTTGAACGCGGGACTTGAGAGTGGAATAGCTGATCCCGAGCTGTTCGGCGGTGTCCTTCTGGGAAACACCTTCCAGTTCGATCTTGCGCAGCAGCTGTCCCGCCTCTTCGGGCAGCGCGTCGATGAAGGGCGCCACACAATCTTCAAGAATGTGCCGTTCGTCATCCTCCATGGCTTCGTACCAGAGGTCCACAGTCGGCAATGATCGATCGTTCTTCTTCATGCGATAAAAATCGATGATGGCGGTGTTGGCGATCTGGAACAGCCAGGATTTCAGGCTGCTTCCGTCCTTGAGTGTGCCCAGGCTGCCGTGGGTCTTGAGAAGGATCTCCTGGAGCACTTCTTCCGCGTCAGAGGGATTTGAAATCCTCGAGTGAAGAAATGCGGAAAGTACTGAACGATAATCGGCCCACACGGCATTGAAATCCGGGGAGGATTCCGGGTCAGCGCGGTCCGTGACTGCCGTCATGATCATCTCCGAAGTCAAATTTTAATGTTGTTTTCCAATGAGTTGTAATTTTTTTGCCTGGCAGCTTCGTCTTTTTTCCACTCTCAACGTCTAACAGGTCGAACACCTCAAGAAAAGGATCGACACCATGATCAAGATTGTCAGTTTCAAAATCTGTCCCTTTGTGCAGCGGGTCACTGCCATGCTCGAAGCGAAAGAAATGCCTTACGAGATTGAATATATAGATCTCAAAAACAAACCGGACTGGTTCCTGGAAATTTCGCCGGTCGGGCAGGTCCCGCTCCTGATTACGGAGGAGGGGATACCCCTTTTTGAATCCGATGCAATCGTAGAATATATCGACGAAATCTCCGAAGCGCTGCAGGATGGCCTTTCCCCGGAAACGCGGGCGATCCACCGGGCGTGGAGTTATCAGGCTTCCAAGCACTATCTGGTCCAGTGCAGCACAATGCAGAGCGCCGACCGGAATGTGTTGAATGAACGGATTTCGAAACTCGACAAATCATTCGATCGTGCGGAAAAGCAGTTAAGCGACGGCCCTTGTTTCGCCGGCGACACTGTGGGAAATGTCGATCTGGCCTGGCTGCCGTTGCTGCACCGTTCGGCAATCGTGGAAAAGGCCAGCGGTTACGACATGCTGGAAGGTTTTCCGAAGGTCAAGGCCTGGCAAACAGCGCTGCTGAAGACTGGCATCGCAGAAAAGTCCGTTCCTGAGGATTTCGTCGAAAGGTTTTCCGATTTCTACCTCTCGGAGCGAACCTGGCTCGGACGGGGAGCGAATGAAAACGAGGAAGATGCAGACGCTTCAAATTCGAAGAGCGGTGGCTGCTGCGGCTGACGCGGACGGACGAAGCCCGACCGATAGAGATCGGTCGGGTTGCTGTCGCAACAACAGGTCAGATGTCGTTTCGCGGGATGCGAAGCAGTTGGCCGGGGAAGATCACGTTCGGATCACTCAGGATATGCCGGTTGGCCTCGAAAATCGGCTGAAAGTCTGAGTTGCCGTATTGTTGTTGCGCAATCTGGCTCAAAGTATCGCCGGACTTGACCGTGTAGGGCTGCCAGCCACCGTAACCTGGCAGGATCCGGGGACCAAAGAGAACCGGGATCACGACGGATGGACCGTTCTCGTTGCCTGAATCGTCTGCCAGTGTCAGGAATAGCCGATTCAGCTGGAATGTGTTGGTGTCCGGAATATCTATTGAGGCCTGAAATTGCTTCAATCCAAGGGATCCGACATTTGTAAAGGAAGCGTATTCATCGTGACCTTCAGAAACGCGAATGCTCAATGTTCCTTCGAATGCTGCAGCGTTTCCGGCGATCATGATTGTCGACCCGACCAGATCGAAAGGCTGGGGCTGCTGTATGTCCAGTGTAACCGTCATTGCGAACGTCCTCTTGTGCGCGACCGACCTCGGATATGAGTTCGAGGTGGACTATCTAAAGACCGCATTGTCCTGACTGGATAAAAAATGTTGCAACTTATTATGCAATCTGTCGTTGTTTAATTCGGATTTGAATTTCTATTACACCTTCTAGTTATTCCTATTATTGACGTTTTGGCTATCGTTTTATAAAGTTTAGATGATTGAACTAATATTCCTCTGCGTCATCTTCCGGTTGTTGTTTAGGTTGAATTTGATTTTTTTGCCATTTTTCTGCCTTGTTGATCGAACTTCCGCCACAAAGTTGACGCCGACTTGAGCGCTTGTCGTTCGTTGATTTCAGAAAGTTTCTTCATTGACTGAAGTCGTTGTCCTCATGTCTGCCCTGCTTTTTTCCGACTTGCAAAAAAGCGATCCGTCAGAAAGCACGGGCTCGGTGCTGGCAGCAAAAAGCCGGGATTTTAACGCGCGTTCCAATATTGATCTGGCAACGCCCAATTCCGATGCGAGCGGCAGTTTTTTTGTGACGTTCATTTTAGACGAGCGGGCCGGTGAATTTGCTGAGAGTGTTAAGTCAATCGACGGAGTTTTATCCGTTGATGTGAAGCCGGAACTCGGGCTTCCATAATATTACCGGTCGGCGCGTCTCCTATTCAGGAGGAAAGCCAATGGCCCGGAAGACCAGGAAAGTAACTGCACCACAATCACGTCAGCCGGAAATCATCGCTGTCGCGAAATCCGATGTGGGTTTGCGCATGGCAGGCGTTGCGATGCGCTCGCTTGCCGGGGCAAAAACCACAAAGGCTGAAAAAGCCCTGAAGAAGCACAATTGCATCGCTACACCTCTCTTCGGCCCTTCGGAAGAAAGGGTGGAAGCAGCAGTAGCCGCTCAGGCTCCCTTTGCGATGGCTCCTCTGGAAAACCTCTCCGGTTTTTACAAGCTGTCGGCGCCGGACGCAGATATTGAAGATCTTCAAAAGGAGCTTCTGGACAACGATCTTTTTGACGGGGTGTTCGTGAAACCCCCGGTCGAGTTGCCGGAAGAGGCTGTCGATGTTGCCTCGCTGAATGAGATGGTGGCGGTGCCGGATGTTCCACCACCTGCAACACCGGACTTCGTCGCAAGGCAGATCTATCTGGATCCCGCACCTGCGGGTATCGATGCGCGCTGGGCCTGGAATCAGGCTGGCGGACGTGGAACCGGCATTCACATTACGGATATCGAAGGCGCCTGGCGCTTCAGCCATGAGGACCTGATCGAACGGCAGGGCGGGGTTGTTGGCGGTGTGGAATTCAACGACGTTGGCTGGCGTAACCACGGGACGGCAGTTCTGGGCGAATACGGAGGTGACGTCAATCCCTTCGGCGTGACAGGCATTTCACCGGAGGCGATCTGTACGGCGGTGTCGCACAGAACACTGGGATCGGCGGGTGCGATCAATCATGCTGCTGCCCGGTTGAACGCCGGGGATATCCTGCTTCTGGAAATGCACAGACCGGGACCACGGCACAATTTCCGGCTGAGGCCTGATCAGCGAGGTTACATCGCGGTCGAGTGGTGGCCGGATGATTTCGCTGCCATTTTGAATGCCTCCAGGCGTGGCATCATCATTGTGGAAGCGGCCGGGACCGGGGCCGAAGATCTTGACGACGCGCTTTATGAAACGCCCGGCTTCGGTTTTCCGGCAGGATGGACCAATCCTTTCCGGCGGGCCAATCGTGATTCGGGAGCGATTGTGGTAGGAGCCGGTGCACCTCCTCCCGGCACACACGGGCGCAACCACGGTCCTGACAGATCCAGGCTCGGCTTTTCCAATTACGGGTCGATCGTCGATGCCCAGGGGTGGGGGCGCGAAGTCACGACGTGCGGCTACGGCGACCTGCAGGGAGGTGGTGACGAGGACCTGTGGTACACGGACACCTTTTCAGGAACCTCGAGCGCATCACCGATCGTGACCGGCGCCCTTGCTTGTCTTCAAGGCATGGCGCGCGCCCGCAACCTGCCTGTCTTCACACCGGATGAGTTGCGCAACGCGCTCAGAACGACCGGTTCTCCTCAGCAGGATGCTCCGGGTCGTCCGGCAACACAGCGCATCGGGAATCGGCCGGACTTACCGGCTTTGTCAGGGGCATTGTTCGGAGTGGGCGGCAACAGGCGGTCTGTTGCCTTCCGGCGCGAAGTGGAACGGTGGCGGCCGCTCGAAGTCAGGGCACTCATTGATATCAGTCCTGAGCTGGTCGCCTCTCATTCGACATTTACCTTGCAGCAGGCCCTGGTATCAGCGCAGCCGGTAAGGTCCGATGCGGATGGGATCTTGTCGAAAATGGCGATCATGTTCCGCATCTCGTCGCTTGCCGGTCAGGCAATCGAGATTGCCGGCCCGGTTGGCGGCTCACGATATCGCTGGTGGGGCAGCATCGCGGCGGACGGACTTGGCCAGCTTTACGTCGATGAAGGCTATTCCTCAACCGGCAGCGACAATTTCGATCTGATTGCGGAAATCAGGGGAGTCGATACGCGGTTCGCATTTGACACGGTCGCACAACGATATCGCGCGGTCTGAGCAAAGGGAGCGGCGCGAGGCGATCTGTCCAGCCAGATACTCGCGCCGCGCCTGTGCAAGATACGGTTCAAGCCGCAAGCCGCAATGCATTTTTTTGCTCGCCCCCTCTCATTGGAACTTCGCTCTGGGCTGGTGAAAAAGGCTCGGAACTGATTGTGAATTGTCATCCCGGTTTGGCGGAGCCTGGACCGGGATCGGCGAAACACAAGCGCTATAGATCAAGTGGAAACATCAGTGTTTGCTGGTTCCCGGATCTCCCAATGGTCGTCCGGGATGACCAACGGTGAACAATTGCTTCTTTTGCGACCCTGACGAGTGAAGATGTCACGAGTCTTGCTGGAGCAGCAAAATTCAAGAAATTCAGCGTTTGCGACGTTCTTACCGAGTTGCGGATTCTTGCGTGCGGAAAGGCAGTAATTTTGGTCGTGTAAAAGGGGAAGGCGTCGGGGTGCAGATTTCAGCAAATACCGGACTCCTGAAACTGTCAGGTCTTTACAATTCCGGCCCGTTCAGCTGCAGGCAATCACCAGCACCTCTCGAACCCGGACCCGCCGAGTGAACGACATTGCCGACAGTACCGAGAGGGATGTTCCGGCGCTCCTGCGCAATGTATTCTCCAGCGTCGAGTTCAGGAAACTGCTTGGTCGATTGTAGTGCCAGGCGCATGAGGCAATTGAAGATTTCGGCATGCTGCCGGAAAGTGCGACTCACGAAATCAGGTACAATTAGCTGGTGTGTTTGTCGGGCGGCAAAGACAGCAACACGCTGCAGGCTGAGTTGACCGACGGGGATTGACGTGGCCCCTTGCCGATCAGCCTGAACCGCATCTGAAATCCGTACCCGGATCGCGATTTAAGTTTCGCGCTTGTTGAAAAAGCCACGGATCTTCGTGCTCAACGAAGTTCAGGGACAGGAAACTCCAGTGGTGATCCCAGCCCCTTCCATCAATATGAAGCAACAGATAAGGGCGCTTGATCTGTTCGTGCCGGTTTCCGAAAAGCTGATCATATTGCAATCAATAAAACGAGCGCACCTATGTAAGCTGGCAATATCATAAGGTGCATGGTTGGATGTGTGGTTGGTTTAATTGTAGCGCTGCGGGCAACTTCGATTGATTGTGGTATTACCCCGGTTTCCGCAGGTGGCCGTGCTAAACATCCGAATTTGTTTGATCGGTTGATGTACGGCGCATTCCCGGTGCGGCGGCAGACCTTTTCAAACCCTTTAGGTTCCTTTAAACCCTCGCGTCGATGCGAAGACAATTTGAACTGGGTTAATTGTGTGAACGATATCGCCGACAGCACCGATACGGACGTACCGGCTCTCCTGCGCAATGCGCCTTCCAGCGTCGAATTCAAGAAGCTGCGCAAGCGTCTTTTGCGGCAATCTCGCGAGGCGATTGGCGACTACGGCATGATGCCCGGTGATGCGTCGCCTGAAAGCAGGCCGAAATGGCTGGTCTGTCTGTCCGGAGGCAAGGACAGCTACACACTTCTGTCGGTCCTGATCGAGCTGAAATGGCGCGGGCTTCTGCCGGTTGAACTGATCGCCTGCAATCTGGACCAGGCACAACCGGGTTTTCCGACCGACATTCTGCCGAAATTCTTCGAAGACAACGGCATCGAGCACATCATTGTGCGCGAGGACACCTAGTCCATCGTCACCGACAAGATCCCGGAGCACCGGACCTATTGTTCGCTATGTTCTCGGTTGCGCCGGGGAATTCTCTACCGGATTGCCCGGGAGCAGGGCTGCGAGGCGATCGTGCTCGGCCATCACCGGGAAGACATTCTGGAAACCTTCTTCATGAACCTCTTCCACGGCGGCCGTCTGGCGTCGATGCCGCCGAAGCTGATCAATGACGAAGGCGATCTTCTGGTGCTGCGTCCGCTGGCCTATTGCGCCGAGAGTGACATCGCCCGATTTGCCAGTGGTATGCAGTTTCCGATCATTCCCTGCAATCTCTGCGGTTCCCAGGACGGGCTGCAGCGTGAGGAGGTCAAGCGCATGCTCCAGGGCTGGGAAAAGGCGTCGCCCGGACGCCTCGGCGTCATGGCGCGTGCTCTCGGCCATACGAGACCTTCTCATCTCCTGGACAGGTCACTTTATGACTTCGCCAACCTGCGGCCTGCGGAAAGCGCGGCAGAAGACCCTGGCGGGGAGGCAGAGGAACCCTGCGGCGCCAGCCTTGCGATGACGGCGAAGCTGTTCGCGGCGGAATGAGACTGGTTCGCCTTCAAAACGCTATTCGGGGGTCGCAAACAGCTGTCTCAGCCACACCTCAACCGTCTGTGCCGCCGGTTTCTGAGGCCCCGAAGCTTCCCGGTGCAGAAGAAAGTGTGTCTGGGTGGATGGAATTTTCGTCTCAAACGGGATGGTCAGGCGTCCATTTGAGACCAGCCTCGAGGCAACACGCTCAAGCAGCAAGGCAACGCCGCCTTGCGAGGATGCCCATTCCACTGCCGCGAGGGAAGTGTCAACAGTGATGCTGGTGGACAGGCGTGGTGTATCGAGACCGAGCGCTTCAAAATACCTTGCCCAATGGTCGTCAAAACCGAGCGTGTGAATACGGGCAACGTCAGTCAGGTCTTTCGGCTTCTTGAGTTTCTTCGCGAGAGCGGGATGGCACACCGGCACAATGAACTCCGATCCGAGAGATTCGCTGCGAACGCCAGGCCAGTTGCCCGACCCAAGCCGGATTTCGATATCGATCCCTGTTTCCAAAACCGTGTCGGCCCAGATAGCGGAGAGCAGTCTGACAGTGACCCCCGGATGCTCCTGCTGAAAATCGGCGAGGGCGGGGCCAATGATCAACGTCCCTTCGGAGATCGGTGCGCGGATTGTGACCGATCCTGAGCTGCGGTTGCCGAACAGTCCCTCCGTCGAGACGGCCAGGTCCTGGAGCGCCTTTCTGACGGCGGGCAGATAGGCACGCCCGCTTGCTGTCAGATCCACCTTGCGCGTGGTTCGTTCAAAGAGCTGATGGCCAAGTTGTTGTTCCAGTGCGCTGATGTGATTGCTGACGGCTGCCTGGGTCAGTCCGAGCTCGTTGCCGGCAGCGGTGAAGCTGCCCAATCGGCTGGAGGCTTCGAAGCTTCTGAGCCAGAGCAGGTTGGGTAGAGCTTGCATTGCTCCAATTAATAAAAAAATCTCGTAATGTCCACTTATTATATCGTTTCTCTTCTCTTTCAGTGAGGCGCAAAGTGATGTGAGTGAAACAATTCGCGTCTCGGGAGGAGCTTGCGATGCATATCGGATTCATCGGTCTTGGAAATGTCGGCGGAAAACTGGCGGGCAGCATCCTGCGCAACGGCTACGACCTGACAGTTCTGGATCTCGATCCGGGTTTGATGGACCAATTCGTGGCCTCAGGTGCCAATCGTGGCCAGAGCCCTAGGCAATTGACGCAGGTCTGCGACATCGTCATAACCTGCCTGCCCAGCCCGGCGGCCTGTTCGGCCGTGGTCGAGGGACACGACGGGATCCTGGAAGGCATGGGTCCCGGCAAGATCTGGGCTGAAATGTCGACCACCGATTCAAACGAAACACGGCGGCTGGCCGAGCTTGTCATCGCACGGGGTGGTGAGGCGATCGAATGCCCGGTATCGGGCGGTTGTCATCGCGCGGCAACCGGCAACATCTCCATTTTTGCCGGCTGCACCCGCGCTACGTTCGAAAAGGCCCTGCCACTGCTGACGGTTCTCGGGCGCCGAGTATTGCACACCGGGGAAATCGGCTCCGCTTCTGTCTTGAAAGTGGTGACCAACTATCTTGCGACAGCAAACCTGGTTTCGCTCGCCGAAGCGCTGGTTACCTGCAAGGCTGCGGGTATGGATCTCAACACTTCCTACGAGGCGATCCGCATTTCGTCGGGGAATTCCTTCGTCCATGAAACCGAAAGCCAGGTGATCCTCAACGGTTCGCGCGACATATCCTTCACGATGGATCTGGTCGCCAAGGACATCGGCCTGTTCCAGTCAATCGCCGAAGCGCATGATGTTCCGCTGGAACTGTCGCCCTTGCTCAACAAGCTGTTTGCGGACGCCATCGGGCGTTACGGTCCGCGTGAGCTGTCTCCAAACATTATCCGAAGGCTTGAGGAAGCGACCGGTCTGCTTGTCCGTGCTCCCGGTTTCCCGCCGGAAATGTCTGACGATGAACCGGAAGAAGCCGGATATGAAGTCGTTCCGAAGCGCGATGACGACATCGTGTCGGGGATTCGGGAAGCGACAGGCCGATGATCGAAAAACGCAAATTCCATATCGGCGGACATTGGGTCGATCCGGTGGAAGCGCGGGACCACCAGGTGATCAATCCGGCGACGGAGGAACCTGTCGCAGTCATTTCTCTTGGAAGTGCCGCCGATGTGGACAGGGCAGTCGACGCGGCGACAGCTGCGTTTCGGTCGTGGTCGGAAACGTGTGTCGACGAGCGGGCCACGTTGCTTGAGCGGATCATCGAAATCTACGAACGCCGTTCGGATGAGATGGACGAAGCCATCCGGTTGGAAATGGGCGCGCCTGTCGATTTCGCAAGGGAACAGCAGACCCCCTCGGGAACCGGCCATCTGCAGGCGACACTTGAAGCATTGAAAACGCATGAATTCGAGCGTCCGAGTCCGCGCGGAGGAAGTCTGCTCCGGCACGAGCCTATCGGGGTTTGCGGTCTGATCACCCCATGGAACTGGCCGATCAACCAGGTTGCCGCAAAGGTCGCACCTGCGCTTGCCGCCGGATGCACCATGGTGCTGAAACCGAGCGAGATCGCTCCTCTTTCAGCGTTGCTCTTTGCCGAGATCCTGCACGAGGCGGGATGCCCCGCGGGTGTTTTCAATCTGGTCAATGGTGATGGCCCGGGCGTCGGGGCGGCGATGTCCGCTCATCCGGGCATTGACATGATGTCCTTTACCGGGTCGACGCGGGCGGGTGTTGCAGTGACGCAGAACGCGGCTGCGACTGTCAAGCGAGTGGCGCTGGAACTTGGAGGCAAGTCACCCAACCTGCTCTTTGCCGATGCGGATCTTGAAACGGCGATCCGGTTTTCTCTGGAAAGTTGCTTTTCCAATTCCGGCCAATCCTGCGATGCACCGACCCGGTTGCTGGTCGAAAGGAGTGCTTATGAGGGCGCGGTTACGGCAGCGGAGCGGATTGCAGCGGAAACCACGGTCGGCGATCCGGCCGAGGAGGGAGATCATATCGGCCCGGTGATCAGCAACCTGCAATATGAGCGTATCCAGGGGCATATCGAACGAGGCATCGCCGACGGTGCGCGTCTTGTGGCCGGAGGACCCGGCAGGCCGGCGGGATTTGAAAAGGGTTACTTCGTCAAGCCGACGGTCTTTGCGGATGTCACCAACCAGATGTCCGTGGCCCGCAATGAAATCTTCGGACCAGTGCTGGTGATGATCCCGTTCGAAACGGAAGATGAGGCCATTGAAATGGCCAACGACACACCTTACGGCCTGGCTGCCTATATTCAGACCGGAAGTCCCGAGCGTGCCAAACGCGTCTCCCGGAAACTGCGCGCGGGCAGTGTTTACATCAACGGGGCAGCTCCGGACTGGGATGTTCCCTTCGGCGGATACAAGCAATCTGGCAATGGACGCGAATATGGCGAATTCGGCCTGGAGGACTTCCTCGAACTGAAGTCCATCACGGGATGAAATGAGTAACGAATGCGTTGCAGGAGATATGCCGCCAGAAATTTTAAAGCCGCGCTAACACAATAATTTTGCACGCAGACTGGACCTACCGCTCATATCAGGTGAGGTTAGACCGAATGAATTCTGGGAGAACTTCATGCGGGATCTTCGCATCTGCTTCGTCGGCGACAGCTACATCAATGGAACAGGGGATGAACGCTGTCTTGGATGGACCGGCCGCCTGTGCGAGCGACGGTTTTCCTGGGACTACCGATTGTCCTTCTATGATCTCGGCATCCGCGGAGAAACGACGGCGGAGGTTCGCGCCCGCTGGAAAGCAGAATGTGAAGCCCGCTTTCCCGAGACTGCCGACAACCGGGTCGTCGTCCAGTTCGGCATAAACGATATTGGTGTTGTGACCGGGGAAGGCCGTCAGATCGAGGAAGATGAAACGGTGGAAGAAGCGGAAGCCTTCTTGAAGGAAGTTTCAGATCTCTATCCGGTCCTGTGGGTCGGTCTGCCTCCGGCAAACGAGGCTTGTTCGCCCATGAAACCGAGTGAGGGGCTGGAGGTTTCGTTTTCGCAAGATGCCGCCACAGCACTGAACGAACGGTTCAAGACATGTGCCGAAAAACTGAATGTTCCCTATTTCGATCTTCAGGCGCCGCTGCTGGCCAATCGGGATTACATGAGCAGTCTGACCCGGGGCGACCGGATGCACTGCGACGGAACCGGGTATGCGATGATTGCCAATCTTGTCAATAACTGGGAGGCTTGGGACGGCTGGTTTTCCGAATAGGCCCTTCAACCGCCGAAAGCCTTTCGATCCGGCATCGATGTCAATCGGCTGGACAGTTGCCGTCCGTTTACCTATCTCTTCGCCATGACCGTGCGCGTACAACAGCCCTCGAACGACTACGGGATCGTGGTGGAGCCACTGTCGGGCGAAGTGATCGCCTGGCGGGGCGACCAGATGATTGCACGTTCAACGAGAGCGCGTGTCATGTACGAGACCCGGCTCTCCCCTGTGGTCTATTTTCCAGTAGAAGACATTCTGGCCGAACTTGAACCGGCCCCGGCGCACAAAACCTTCTGCCCGTTCAAGGGGACGGCTTCCTATAGCCATGTTCGCCTTGGTGAAGACCTGTCGGAAAACGGCGCCTGGCATTATCCCAAGGCCTTGCCGGAAGGGCAGGCCGTTGATGGGTGCTTTGCCTTCATGCCGGGGGTCGCGACGCGGATCGAGCACCAGGGCGCCGCGATCGATGATCTTCCCGCCGGCAATATATCCGGACCGGTCGTCGACTGGCTGCTTCGGGAAGCCTGGTTGGCAAAATCTCCCGAAGAGCTTTTGGCCGCTCTGGGGAGCAAGCTGGTTGAAGACGGCATTGCGGTCAGCCGGATGAGCATTCTCATCTGGTCCCTTCATCCGATGATTGCCGGACAGAACTGCCTCTGGCTCCGGGACGAAGACGAGGTAACCAGCCGCTACCCCTCTTATGAAATCCTGGAAAGCCCGATCTTCAAGGAAAGCCCATTCCAGCATGTTGCCGACGGTCTGGGAGGTGTGCGGCAGAAACTCGATACCAATCCGGATGAGTTCAATTTCCCGATCATGGAAGATCTGAAGGAGCAGGGTGTCACCGACTATGTAGCGATGCCGCTGCCCTTTTCCGACGGACGCATTAACGTATTGACGCTGGCCTCCGATCACCCCAACGGGTTTACCACGGCCAATCTCGGCCTGATATTCGAATGCTCCGCGCTGATCAGCCGATTGGTTGAGGTTTTCGCGCTGACCTCCAACGCAACGACGCTGCTGGAGACCTATCTTGGCAAGCGCACCGGCGCACGTGTCCTGGGCGGCGAAATCCGTCGCGGTGACGGGGATGTCATCGATGCGGCGATCCTGTTTTGCGATCTGCGCCATTCAACGCGGCTGGAAACCGAACTCGGGCGGGACAGGTATGTCGCCGTGCTCAACCGCTTCTTTGAAACTTCGACCGATATCGTCAATGCTCACGATGGTGAAGTCCTGAAATTTATCGGTGATGCGGTGCTCGCCATATTCCCTGCCAGTGCAGGGCATGCGCAGGCCTGCAGTCAGGCGGTTGCAAGCGCGGAGGAAATTGTCGCTGCACTGGCGGAGCCTGACCCGGAAATGGAGGACACGTCGCTCTCCTGCGCGATCGGCGTTGCTTACGGCGACGTGACCTACGGCAATGTCGGCTCTAAGGAGAGGCTGGATTTTACGGTGATCGGCAGTGCCGCCAACGTTGCCGCCCGTCTGGGCGACCACGGCAAGATCAACGGCAAATCAATTGTCGTCTCCGATGAGGTGGCAAAGGTTACCGATTTTCCCGCGGAGAGTCTCGGCAGTTTAAGTCTGCGTAATGTATCGGAACCGGTCGAAGCGTTCGCAATCACTCCGGAAACGACCGAGCGTCAATAAGCGCTGGAAAGACAGCCAGCCTAGCGAACAGTTTTTTCTCCCAGGAAACCACCCATGGGCTGATTTCGAACCAGAATCACCAGACCGGACTTGCTCGGCTCAGCCCCGGTTTCGGCCACGCCGCCATAGTTGGCGCAAAGCTCTTCGGCACTCTTTCTCTGGGCTGGTGTAAACATGGTGATCGCCTGACAATCGACGCGGCGCAATTCGCTGTCGGTTCCGGGGCCGCCGGATACGACGATTCCAAAACCGGCCAGAGCCAGAGCGAAAGTAGAGGTGGTTGCAATAGCAAACTTGTTCATTGTCCCCGGTCCCATTTCCCGGCCCGTCTTCATGTCGGGCCCTGCGATATGGTCGGAGAATGGCGGAACGCACCTGTACTGACTCTGAAATCCGCATTCACCTGTTATTCATGTTAGGCGATTCGCAGTGAATTGCCGAGCCCGTGCCCCATTTCAGCCAGAATTGATTCGGCTTAACGTTGGATAACCGCAAATTCTGGCCGATTTTGACATCGCGAGTATCTCGTTCGCTCGTGATCACGCGGAAACAGAGAGTGTCAAAGTCCGGGTGCCCAGGACCACGAGGCAGGGCGGGAACGAGGCATTTGATCTTCGGTTCGGGTCAAATCAGGCACAGCATTCAAATATCCCGTGCCTGTTTTCGACTGCTGTGCCGGCCACGCGTATCCCGGGCCTGGGGGCAGGACTTTGAAATCTGTTCCTTTGGAACACCTGTTTGGGACTACTGCATGCCTGCTGTTGTGAAGATGTTCATCTGAAAACCGAAAAGGGGCGGAAAAACCGCCCCTTAACGTCAAATGTTCAGAAATTGAGTCCGCGCGTCAGGCGGATTGCTGAGCGGTCTCGATACCCTTGTCGGTGAGCAGGCCCTGCAATTCCTTGTTCTGGAACATTTCGCGGATGATGTCACAGCCGCCGACAAACTCGCCCTTTACGTATAGCTGGGGAATGGTCGGCCAGTTGGTGAATTCCTTGATGCCATTCCGCAACTCGTCGTCTTCCAGGACGTTGATACCCTTATAGGGCGCGCCGACATAGTCGAGTATCTGGATTACCTGTCCGGAGAACCCGCATTGCGGAAAATTCGGTGTGCCCTTCATGAACAGCACCACGTCGTTGGTGTCGACTTCGTTCTTGATCCAGTCCTGGATGCTCATGGATTTCTGTCCTTGTGTTTCGCGGGCGCGAGTGAGTTGCGGCCGGTGCGATAAATCAGGTTTGCCACAGCCCTCCAGATGCGCAGTTCCATGACCAGCATGATCACCAAAACCGTGAAGAGAAGCCAAACCATCCAATTTCCTGTTTCTTTGACCGCATATGTGTTTCAAAGCGGCGGAAGTTCAAGAGGCCGTGCGATATGCGCGGCAATGTGACAATCCAGTCAGATCAGTCAGGGGCCTTTGTCTGCAGGGCAAGCGCATGCAGGGCGCCACCCATGTTGCCCTTCAAGGCTTCATAAACCATCTGATGCTGCTGCACGCGGCTTTTGCCACGGAAGGATTCCGAGACGACATTCGCCGCATAGTGATCGCCGTCGCCAGCCAAATCCCGGATCTCCACCTGAGCGTCGGGCAGCGCCTCCTTGATCAGGGTCTCGATCTCGTTCGCGTTCATTGGCATTGTACGTCAGTCCTCATTTCAAGTTCCTTGAAGGCACCTGCCTCAGGCAACAGCCATATAACTCGGGAACCAATCTTCGTGTGCTTTGCGCAAGTTTGCAACGGATATGGTGAGAATGCCTTCAACATTCAAATCCTTGCCGCCCGTTTTGCCAATTTGTTGAACGTCGATTCCGGCGTCCAGAACGTCTTCCATCACGGCATCGACCTTGTCGGGAGAAACGGTCAGAACGTAGCGGCCCTGATCTTCGCCGAAGAGAGCTGCATGGGCCGGGCCGTCGATTGCGACATTCGCGCCGATATCGCCTGCCAGTGCCATTTCAGCCAGGGCAACGCCCAGACCACCGGAGGATATGTCGTGGACACCGGTTAGCCTGGCTGCGCCGATCAACTGACGCACGATTGTTCCCCGGCGTTTTTCGGCAGCCAGATCAACCGGCGGCGGGGCACCTTCCTCGCGGCCGAGGATATCGACAAGATACTGGGACGCACCCAGATGTGTACCAGGACCGCCGATCAGCAAGATCGCATCGCCTTCCTGTGCAAAGGCCGCGCCCGCGCGCACCGTCACATCCGGAAGCAACCCGACGCCGCCGATCGCAGGGGTCGGCAGGATCGCTTCGCCGTGCGTCTCATTGTAAAGCGACACATTGCCTGACACGATCGGGAAATCGAGCGCTCTGCAGGCTTCACCGATGCCTTTGATACAGCCGACGAACTGACCCATGATCTCGGGTTTTTCAGGGTTGCCGAAGTTGAGATTGTCGGTTGCCGCAAGCGGTTCGATCCAGCACGGTGCGGGCGCGAGGAATCCGGCTGCGTCGCCTGCCGGAACACCAACCATGAACGAAAACCCCGCGCTTGGTAAAATACCAGTATAGGCGAGAAAAACAAAAAAACTTAGCTTTTTTTCAGTGGGTGGTTTGGAGGTTAGGGATGACTTCCTATGTGCCCCTCTCTAAGAAGCAGGGGTTCAAATTTCCAAACCACCAACTAAGGGTCACCTGAAACACTAGCCGCCGGAAAACTGATTCTTAGCGGCCAATAAAGCGCTCTGAAGACTCTTCTCTCCTCAATCGTAAGCTGAGACCTCAGGTACGTGTCGACAGCTACATGCCGCGGCTGCTGTCATTGGTTGTAGTTGGCGTGCTGTACAGGTAATTTCTGCTCGCGCTGCTAATGAACATCTCAGAAGCCCCAGGAACTTTGTGCAACCGGGCTAAACAAATCCTACATGATGAGATCTCGCGGGATTACCAAGTTGCACGATCAACCAGAAGCTAAAGGCTCACTTGATCGCAACGCCTCTTAAAAGGCATGTACAAAAGGGATGCAAGTCTCAAGCTCTCTGAGAAGAACAAACACTTTTCAATTAAGGTCCCCGTGCTCGGCATCAACAGCTAGGTAAAACACACAAGACCTTGGCATTGGCTATCTCCCTGCACAACAAAACACTCGCAACATAGGTCATTGTCGGTGTGGTGGTGTTGAAGCATTATGACTTATGAGCTTGACGAGCACTTAGCATGCCCCGGTAGCCGGTATGACCGTGCAAGTGGCGCGCAAGGAACCTTCTTTGGCCCGTCAATACAAAGGGCTCGTGGTGTGCATGACTTTGACATAAGCATGAGCTGAAACACATCATTTAGAGGTCATCTAACATTTGGACGAGCCGTCAGCTTCAACATCAGGGGCAAAGAAGTGCGGATCCTTGCAGCCGTAAACAGTCGCAGGCCAAGTACTATACTTAGGCTTCCAGGCAAAATGCCTGGCTACTAAACATATTGGCCTGATTCCAAATTCTGATCTTGTATGTTTCCTCAGACAATCAGTAGATCGACGCATCGATGACTGCGAAGAGGCGGTCAACCTCGTGTGCATCGTCATCATGTGCCTCGGAAGGGTCGTCGGAGACACTGGAGTTGTCGTCACCGGAGTCAAAGCCAGTGGAGTCGTAGTCACCGGAGTTATATCGAGTTGAGTCGTAGTCACCGGAGTCATAGCCAGAGTCGTAGTCACCGGAGGTACAGTCACTGGGCGAGTCATCCGCGTCATCACTGGAGTCTGGGTCCCGTGCTCTCAGCACATCACCCCAGGCCGCAAAGCTGGTCTCGATGAAGCTTCGCAGATCCCAGCCGGCTCCGGTCGCACTTCGGAGGGTGAGGCTTTCGATGATGGCGTGCCCGTTGCCACGCACCAGCTTCGCGCCCGAGGACATTACCAGCTGGTCCCTGGCTGGAAGATGCCGCTGACCGAGCTCAAGCAGCACCTTGCAGACTTGACACTGGGAGTCGGCTGGCAGTCCATGCTGGGGGCAAAAGCACTGGCGTGCTTGGCCGCGGCCATGATCTGGGATGCTGTCAATCATGGCCTGCACCAGCCCTGTCACAGAGGTAACACGAGTGGCTTGCTCAATCACGGCCATGCGGTGGTTCCAGGTGATGAGGGCACTGCGCTGGTTGCATGTGCACTGCATGTTTATGACCTCCACCTTCGACAGGAAGCTCAGGATGTTAAGTGGAACACTGCAGTTGGACATAGGCCGATTTGGTTCGGCGGTCCACAAGGTGCATTGCCCGACCCTCTGAAGCCAAAGACTCGCAAGCCAGCAGTGCACATGCCCATGAGTCAACGTGCCAATGCTGTCTTCTCCCAATCTCTGGCATGAAAACATGAAACGGCTTCAGCGCTTGGATTTGGAGGAGCATACATCAAGGGTGAATGCACTCAAGACCCAGTGCCCAGACGGCTACATGGATGTTCCCATGCTACCTGCTTGGGGCTCCTTGCGCGGGCCCGAGACTTTCATTTGGGACCCCTTTGGGCCCATAATATGGGAAGCCCAAAGGAAATGTGGGCCGTGGTCAGTTCTTCTTGGTAGGGACCCTTAGATGGTTCTCTAAGGCCCCTACAAACGAATGTTGACCCTGTTTTGCGAGGTAGTCTGATCAATATCCACAACACAAACCAGCTTCAGCTGACTTCTCCGCACCTCGCCAGGACGATCTTCGCAATGCATTTCGCCGACCAGCACTTGGATAGGGCTGCGTGCGGCAGGGCGTCCTTTCGGCCACACAAGACACCAAGATGGTCAGGGCTTGAGTGAGAAACCAAGATGCTCAGAAAGGCTTCAGGCGACGATTCTCCGAAGCCAAGACTTGAAGCCCTGGGTGGTGCCAAAGAAATGAAGACTCCAGTAATCCATCAGGACCCACACTGGAAGTGTGTCTTTCTCTTCGGTTTACAGTGCCCTGCAAAAGTTTTGAAAGTTGGCTTGCAGCTAGCCGCATGAGTTGAAAGTATCCTCTCCCAAGAATACACGTCTGTAAAGCCCGCCTTCTGAGTAGATTGACTGAATCGAACAAAGTCGGCTGATTGTTTTTGCTTCATGGATACCAGTTCCCCACAGAAAAACCGGCGAACTGCCAAGGGGAAACGGTCCACAAGGCCGGGCCTCGCCGAACTTCTGACGTGAGGAGAACGGCCGCGGGCATCATCTCAGGGCTCAGCCCAGAGCCATTCCCTCAGGGCACATCTGCCAGAATTAGGGACGCTTGGTGGGCTTCACTACTGTGGATGGTTGCGAAATTCTGCACCACCGCTCAGAAACCCTGGAATGAGGCGAATTCCTTGTAAATACCAACAAATACTGGTTTCACATGGTTTCAAAGTGGTGCAGCATTTCTCCACAGTATGTTCAAAGGGGAACCACCAAACACTGAACGGGTAAAGAGTGCCTTGCGTGGTTCATCCACGAATCCCTTGGTCGCAGCCAATGGGTCCGCTTGGTGTTTAACCTGTTTCACAAATATGAACCACATGACCGTGGCTCAAAAACCCGGTACCAAAATGGAACCCTTGTAAGTGGAAACATGGACCAAAACCTGCGGTTTGCCCCTCCTGTGTAATTTTGAGCCACACATGTTCAAAGCTCTGCACCTCATTTTGGTTCCTCTTGAAGGCGGCCCTCATGACTCAGAGCTGGGCCCAACTTACACCTGCTGGCTCAAAGCCAGCAAGGCGAACCAAAAAGGCAAATTGCAACAGCCAAGCAACGGCTGGCAATGAAAACGGGTTCCACTGGCACAACACTTCAGAACAACTTCCTTCTGCCTGTTCAAAATATCTTAAAACGCACTATGAAGAAGAGAAACCAACAGGAAGTCAACCATCTTTAGTACCATCTCAAAGGGAAACAAACAGGAAGTCAACACCATCTTTAGCACTCTCGCGAAGGGACACTGAAAGAAAGTCTACCATGTTTAGCACCATCTCAAAGGGACACCACAAGGAAGTCAACCAGCGCTAGCACCATCTAAAATAGACTCCAAAAGGATGTTAAGGGAAACAAAAAAAAAGTCCACCCCCATTTTCAGAACCCCCCCACCAACTTCTGAGACCCCGCCTGCCGCATCGCGCGGTCGCATGCGCTAAGCGCGGCGTTGAAGCTGGTCTCGTTCGGGCAAAGGCGCAGCTCCACGATCTGCTGCAGGACGCTCCTCGGACAGCCCACTTGGATCTTCGATTCGCAGGGGGGGGGCGGGTATTGGGGGGACGGCTTATGATTCAGGGGAGAGGATTAGAGACCCTCAACCAAGGATATCTCTGACTTTCTAGCATATGATTCGCCGAGTTAAGTGCTGAGCCAAATGAGCATAGCTGGCCTTTTGGAGAAATAGATGGGTTCCTGAAAGCTGGTCTTTGAAGAGCGCCCAAAACTACTTTTGGCGGCAACCCACCCAGGTCCTCCAGGTTTGAGAGGCTAGAATAAGTTGGTACCAAACAAAAGATGTAGTCTACTTTAGTAGGGGAACCCTCCCAACCGAAAAAGGGGAGAGAAGGGCACTGCTGGGGGACCTAGTTTTGGAGAAATAGATGGGTTCCCCTGGTAAATGCAACGAAACCCATCTACTTCAGTGCCATCCATGTTTAAACAAACTCACCAAAAAAGGACACCTAAGAAAGGGAGATACAACCCACTACTGACTGGGTTACCACTTAAGGAGTGGATTATAACCTGGGTTGGCAACAACTTGCTGACATGGGCGAACACTCCAGCAGTGACTTGTCAAGGCTTAGAGACCAGCGAACAAGGAATTTGTAGAGGAAATTGGAAGCTAAACAACCAGCACAAGCAATGGCGCGCAAAGCTTTAAGCCTTGTGGGTTTCGTGGCTTAAAATATGTATTTCAAGAGTTCAAGGTTAAAGATCCATTCAACATAGCAGCAACATCTAGGCGTTAATTCATAGGGTCTTGTTGACAGGCTTCCTCGTAATCAAGGATGACTTAATTTCTAAGAGACGAGGCAACTGACAGTGACGACATCCTTTCACCGCTCATGCTGGACAGAACATCCCAGTCAAGGAATGTTGCTTCCTTGTAATATTTCCGTCGCCAACAGCCAAAGTGTCAAGGCTGGTGAAGGAAAGTGAAGGATGGTAAAACCACTCACCCACTACATTAACCCGCTGCAACGACAATATGATGGAGGCCTGCAGGACATTTGTCAGACACCCACCGAAGAAAAAAAAAAGATCTCCTGCATCGTAGATGTTCCTGTAGCTGGCTTCTCAGTTTGATTCCTTCTTGGATAGCGGGGTTCAATGCTAGTGGCATCCGAATGAATCTGCGTCAGAGTAGGGACTTCTTCTGGGCCCATGCTGATGGGAAACAAACGAAAGCCACCAAACCAAATGGATGTAAACGGCGCCACTGAACAACTTGCGTGCCCGGGCAATTTCCTGTCCTACAACATTGGTAGTATGTGTAGTTTTAAAGTACCCAGAACCCCATTCGAATTATCTGGGTAATAGAAACATTGGACCCCAATGGTTGTTTCCCTTTTGGCCCTTTAAAGCAACCTTTGACCTCAAAAAAGCACACACCGGTGGACAAATGTCTTATCCTCTTCTGGTTCTCCTCGCCCCAAAACAAAAACATAAAGAAAGCAAGAAACAACAGCAAAAGGGGACACCTCCTATGAATCAACCAGGGGCTCATTGATCCGAGGTGTCCATTTACATAGCCCCTTCCACGATGGGTTCGACACCGAGGCGCAGTGCGGGCTGCCACCGCGCCGCCTTCTCACAAGCACTGATGGCCGCATTGCAGGCGATCAGGTCCGGGAAAACCTGTGCGCCAACCACTCCCTATCCCAATCCGACTACCCTCCCACCGACTGACATGGTTTGGTGCCCGGATTTCTGTACAAAGACTACCCTTCCTCTTGGAAAGAGTGGGTTTGCACTTCCATGTTGGTTGTAGGAGGGTAGGTAACATATACCAAAAGAAGCGCATGAATCACCAGCAAACCACTTGGAGGGTAATATTGCGTACATGGAGTGATTGGGCTATACCCTGCCAAACGGAAGCTCATTTCAAATTGGGCCAACAAGTCATGTTTAAAATCATCATCTCCGGCGTGCTACCCCAAAAGGGGAAATGTAGGGAACCCTGCCAAAGCGCCCCAGAGGGCAGCCACATACATTTGGCACTGGCAACCTATTGGCTTTTGGGATTAGCTCAACGGTGGAAAGCAAAACCCTGGAATCAAGTTTGGGTTGCTCCAAAGACCCCTAGCTTTCATTTGCTTCTTCGCACCCTGCAAAAAAACATACTTCCAGTACTAAAATCGATTCCCTTCAAAACCAACAGGGGAAGATAACAAATATGATTAAGCAATGAAGCTAGAAAGAAATGGTAGAAACTTGGGCGCCAAAGAAGGGAATCCAAGCTTCACCCCGGCACGTGTTCGGATTGACCAAACGCTCCCACCTGCTGCTGCAACATATCCCCCAGGAAGTGTATGGCAAGCCTGAGTGCAATGTCATGGAGAGCCCCCAGCAGGATACTGGAATGTGCGAAACCTGCTAATTAATGTAGGTTATCATTATGCTTATTTTGGTTACTTGGACGATCTGGAGACCAGGGTTATGCGGGCTACTTGGGGGATCTTGGATGCTCCACCAATATCTTAATTCTGACCATGGTTACTCAACCCCCCTTTTGAGTCGGTGTAGGGGAGATTTCAAAGACGCCACCATATTTAAGGCCTTTGAGTCTTGGTGACACCCACTACTTTGGAATGCAATGTGTTAACCCACCTTTTGGACTTATGACACATCATAAGCTTCTGCGCTTATTGAAAATCTGTTTTTTTTGAAGTAAGACTTGCTAGCACTCTGGCCAATCCCCCGATCCCGAAAAGATTGCTATGAAGAGTTCCATTTCCCCGAAACCGCTACCTTCAAAGGAAACGGGCTCTGCCCGATGGAAAAACCAATGTTTTTGTTTGTTCATATATTTGCGGCAGGGTCACAATCCCCGCGGGCCCACAGGGAACAGTTGAACTTATTGAAATATCATCTATGCCACACACACAACCAAATGAGTTAGCATGATGAAAAGTCATTTGCCGTATCAATATGGGCCTCACGTCATGTATACAGAGGGCAACATTGTGTAACCCACAAATTTCAACCAGAACACGTGTGTAATTCACTTCGCGGTGTGCACAGCATCGTAATAAGGTGAAGGTTGCCTCGGCAAAAGAGCGCAAAAGGAGCTTGAGCTGTCAGTGTTTGATCCAGGCACGCGAGCCAGCGTGATACTCAAACTGTGCGGTTTTCACTTTTGACATGAATTGTTAGGCTAACGTCACCGTAGGTTGTGGACTTAGATGCATTTTGAGGGATCGATCCCATGTTACGTTTCACGTGAGTTTGCGGGAGATACAAGGACAAACACAGGTTACTAAGGAGTGTAGACTGTGCTGTAACTACAAACATCCCTTGTGTGAGCTAGATTCAAAGTGAGCAGCCATCCCCAATCTTGTCTCCGTTTCGGTGCCATCGTGCTCCTTGCCTTTTTGGACTCGAGAGAATGGTGCACGCATGTTGTCCGATCGTGGTGTTCGTTGGGACAACGCTGTTCTAGGGGCAACTTCCCCATTCTTTCCAGGGATCCTTCTTTCTAGAAAACCACCAAAGAATGGGGAATCAACCCCTGAACTTTAAGCTGGACTTGATGCACTTATAGCATCCAAAACAAATATCACCCCTCCTTGTTACGATTGTACAAGCAGGTCGAACATGCAAAATGGTCCTGGTCGTAACTTACGTAAGTTCAACATCCAAGTAATCCTTACCCCTCGGCTATACCCAATCCATTTTTTCCAATGAGTCAGTTCTGTTGGTATACATTACCTACACTCGGATTGTCTGGGATAGGGGCCATGATTTGTGCTGGCACCTTTTTTCGTGGTGGTTATAATGGGAAACCCACCTATTTTCTGGGCACGGCAAAAAAAAGAACCCCCCCCCGAGCTCCAGTGGGTTCTTTTTCCCCCATTGGCCCTACAAACCAACTGGGGCTTCGGGCTGCCACTGCTCCCCCTTCTCGCAGGCGGTGATGAGGCCCCCCCACGCCACCAGGCCGCGTTTGCCCTCGCCATCCGCGCCGTTGGCGGCGAGGGCTGCGGCGAAAGCCAAGGCGCTCCGCCACTGGGAGCCTGCGGACTGGTGGGGAAGGCTTCGGGAAGGCCTACTGAACCGAACCAAACGGCAATTTGACATGTGTTTTGTGGGAAGAAATGAATTTACCAGTTTTGGTTGACCAGCGTGTTTCTTTGTTTCTTACGAGACTGCACATTTTTACAATTGTGTTTTGGGAATGCCCGATGTGACCTGTGCTTTGCCTGGAGCAAAAGAAAACATGGTTGGCTGTAGGTGTCCCATTTCAGAGGCATGGGATGCGGATCGGAACAGCAAACTGGGAAGGTGGACAAGGCCTAAGGAACGCGTCGGGGAGGGGCATGATCCTCCTCTTAAAACCGTCCAATCCAACCGGTCCCAATCTTAGGTCCCCCTAAAAGTTAGGCTGACGAGGCAACGCAAGGACCAATATGACAGGCAAACCATTGCCTTCCAAAGCCATCTGCAGCCCGCAGCTTTGCTCCTTCCAGGATCTATGATACGTGATATGTTGCATGTCGAACATCACCTCGCCGAAAGGCAAGTCTGTCCGATGCAAACAGGGAAGCATGAGAACTCCGGTGAAACGGGGCTGCCAGGCACCTGTTTGGGCTCAATCATGCCCAATGACAACCTTTGATTGGTGGCTTACTTGGTTGCTTTACTTGCTTGATTCCGAATGAGCTGTTTGTGTCGCTTGGTAGCTATGCACATACCTCGCCAGCCCAAAGGACCTCGGCATTGAAGCTTCGGGACCTTGACTAGACATGAAAGGTTGACATTTCGACTTCTGACAACAAGGGAACCTAAAACCATCCCAGTTGCCACCATAGTAGGCAACAAAATATATAATCCTTTTGGTGTCTGAAAGCTTGTTTCCTACATGGACCTACTAAGCAAATAAATCGAAGCACTTGCCTTCGGAGCAGGCGCGCATGGCGGAAGCAAGGCGCAGGTCGCTGAGTCCGTGCGCGTGTGTGCGCAGGAGCTCCAAAGCGATCTCCCACTCCTAGGCTTCTGTGCAACCCACACAATCCATGCTCATGGGGGCTTGGGGGGAGGGAAGGAGGGAGGGAGGGGGAGGCAGCCCACATAAGGCCTATTAGGGGCTTAATAAGGGCTTATTTGGGCTCCTTCCCCCCTCCCCTCCCTCCCCCCCAACCCCCTGACATGCAGGCATTTGACCCGTTTGGAGTGTGAATGTGGGTACTGGGCAAGGGGCGAATTGATTCGAATGGGGGGTTGGGGGCAGCAGAAAACTAACATTAGTAAAAACAGTCCTCACCCATGACTCATGACCATGGGACAAAACATGTTTGTGATTTTTGAGGTTGACTACTCCTAGGTACTTAGTGTTTGCAAAACATGTGCTAAAAGATTGACTTTAGTGAGATCTGCGGTATATGCCTCCAAGCACAAAAAAGCAAAAGGTCCAACGGTATGGCTGAGGACTGCCAAGAGTAAACACTGATTTATGGCTTGAAACTGAAAAGAATGGCCTTCCAACTGGATTTACCAGTCGTCCTACCCCCATGATGTGACGGATTGTTAAAGCGAAGTGCTGGCTTGAACAATCCGAGTGTAGGTGCTATACACCCACATTTGACCCATTTGGAGGGTAAATGTGGGAATGTTGCATACATGCATTTTTTTGGAGAGTAGGAGCTGCCAACAATGTGCTTGGGATCCGCATCCCCATTTCCCTCAAACACCCAATTCTTGGGAGCTTGTTCGCCGCCCCAAAAAAGGATTCAGGCCCAAAAAAGGGTCTCAAGCAAAGACAGCCCCATTTAGCGAGTCTGAACATACCACCTAGGTCCTCCAGCAGAGAGGTTAGAATAAGGGTACCCTTTCTTCTGTAGCCTATTTTAGTAGGGGAACCCTCCCAACCAAAAAAGGGGTAAAAAAGGGCACCTAGTTGGGGGACCTAGCCACATAGCTTCAAAAAATGGCCGCACAGCGGCTTGCTCGCAGGCGCTGATGGCCGCATTGCTAGCTCCGACGGAGGGCTCGAGGCGCAGCAAAGGCATGGAGAGAAGCAGCGCCACTGCTTCCCTGCAAATTTGTCAGTCTTCAGTTTAGGAGTTTAAGGGGCTGCTTTAACAAAGAAGGAACCAAAAGGAGGATGTGTTAGCAAATCGGGGATGTTTTAACATGCATTTGTTTGGAGGGAACCAAAAGGAGGATGGTTTAACAAATCGAGGATGTTTTAACATGCATTTGTTTAGAGAGAACCAAAAGGTTGATGTTTAAACAAATACTGATAATCGGCCTTATGACATGATGAAAGGGGGGGGGGGTTGGTCCAACCTGTGTGGACCCTAGACAAACTGTTGAACATCTCAATTGGGATCCCATTCACAAAACCGGGCCATGAACTAGGGCTTCCCTGGCGCAATTTGTCTGCAATGAGCGTTTTGCCATTGAAACAAAACATGGGTGACTGAAAGCGGATGGGCCGTGGACGCAACGAGCAACCTTGACCCCAGATTGAAACACCTGCATTGATAGAACCCTCCTGTGCATCAACCAGGGGTGTATCTGGGTGTGTCTCCAAGTGCGGGTTCCAAATACCTTTGAGACATACCATTCCACCAAACGAATTAGAAGTGCAAAAGCTTCCTTTCCAAGAGTAAATTCTCGTGCGAAAGGGGTGTGTGCACTTCCATCCCAAAAAATCCGTGTTGGTAATACGTACATATATAGATATAATATTTATATATACACAAATGTTTGGTTTATTTGGAGGGTGTCTTTGTGGGTAATATTCCATACATGGATTGTGTGGGCATGTTGGGCACTTACCTCTTGGGTGCGGTTTGGTAAAGGTAGGCCCCTAGATTCAGGACTTTGAGCACCTCTCGTTGTTGTCAGCCTTCCATGTTCCCCAAACAATCCATGCATGCATGTGAAATATGTATCCTCAACGACACCCTCTAAATGCGTACGTTCTGTTGGTACATAGTACCTACACTCGGATTGGCAGGCGTTCGCATCAACCAGTGAAAAATGAGAGCCCCTGTACTGAGTGCCCCTGTTTTTCCTCTGAAAATCCACTGGTCCAAAACTGGGCTGCCATCAGATCCCCCTCTAAAAGTGACTAACTTTGAGTGGGCTAAGTGGCAACTGCCACTAAACACTAAAAGGCTAAAAAGCTAAGGAACCGGATAGCTGGGAGTCACCAAAACTCGGATTGGCTGGGAGTTAGCACCAACCAGTAAAAAATGAGTGCTCCTGTTTTTCCTCTGAAAATCCAGTGTTCCAAAAATGTGTCACAATCCAAACCCGGAATTGAACTGGTCTACCCAGAACCATGCTTCAAGAATTAAGAAGGCGGGCGCAACTATTTCTGGCTGGGAGTGCCCCTTCTAACCTTTATCTACCCGAGTTTTGACTGTGGCTCAAACGGCGAGACTCGTTGAAACAAAACCGGGCCCCCGATCCTCCAGCGGCGGCTGCGCCCGCAGGCGGTGATGCAGGCGCCGCAGCTCACCTCGCTGAGGTCCATCGGTCGCCTGAGTCGTTGGAGGAAGCCCGTTGCTCGGTTGCTTTCTGCTCCCCTGCTAATTGTTTCTTACGTTTAGTGGTTGAACGGAAAGCCCATTAGATCCCGTTAGTTGGCAAAAAGTTAAAGTCCTAACATCCAAGCAAAATGCGCCAAAGTGTGGATGGAATCGCGCGGCTTCGTGCAGAAACCCCCGGCGTCTGAATACCAACACCTTCAGAAACCCCCGGTTCTGATACGACTTGTTCAGGCAAAAACAACAAACACTGGGTTCCTCATGGTGGGAAAGGGACATCATTGCAAGCTTGCTTACTCACCGGCTCACTCCCGTGGATTTGCAAAAACCAAGTGTCCGGTGCTTGTTTGCCACTTAAATGGCTTCCCCAACATGAAGTCCAGGAGCTCAGGGAGCAAGATGGTGGTTGATGTCATAAGCCATATGCTTGGTTGACCAACTCGGGCTTCAGGCCGGGGGTCGGCCAATGACCCGAGAAAAAGAACTTGTTGGCCAGCAAGGCAATTTGAACAGTTTTGGACATAAACCTAGAGATACCCTGCAAGGCAGCTACCAAGGCAACTCCTTTGGTCGGGGTCATTCCTTTTGGTCTCTGGGCATTAGCACAGGGGACCCTTCTAAAGGAACCTTCCCATGGGCCAAAAGACCGCACAGCCCAAAGGCTTCGATCGCTTAAGAACCAAGAGTTGGCTGCCTAGTACCGAGCCGGAAAATCCGCCCATCCAACAACCATCAAGCTGAGCACAGCTAAGGGCCAAGTAACAGCAGACTGCCGGAATCCTGTAGCTGTGGGTCCAAAATAGGTACCCAAAATGGAACCCTGGTAAAAGGAACCAAAGACTAAAACCTGCGTAACCCTAGTTCTTCAATTTTGAGCCACACCCATACAGCGAAACTCGCATGACTCGCATCCCAGCGGCAAGTGGGCCAACATCTCCAGCGCCTCCCTCCACTGCAGGCCCATCATCACTGCCCCGTAGCTCACTGCGTCGCTGAGGCGGTCCTACGCGCGCCGTCGACGTGCTTTTCTCTCGAGGCGGTGGGAGAAATTTTGCGCAAGGCTTGATGCTTGATTCGAACCCGGCACTCCAAATACCCTGCTTTTTTGGGGTGATGTTGACCCTCTACTACAAAAGGAGGTATTCACCATGGAAACCCAGGTTTCTCCAAAAGAACACCCGGAAAAAAGTTGGTTTTGGACCAGGAGATAAGGATAAACCCTCCCGAACAGAAAGACAAACGCCAAAACCTGTGCCACTGGGACAGTGAGCAACATCAACCACCCCTTGGTTTCCCAGCCTACCCTACTACTGATAAACATGAGGGTGCACAGGAAGACTACTGTCTTTGGAGGAAGTGCAATGCGTGTTGTGTAAGGTTTTCTTGCTTTCAGGTATCATGTGCGCGGGTGTTTGTTCAAAATGGACTTGAACTGCACTGTCCGAACTGGCCAAGTTGCCTGGGTGCTACATAGGAGGCCGGAAAAAAAAGAGAGACAAAAACAACAACATACCCATCCCCTCTTGCATTTGGGGAACATGAACAATAGTTGCCCGGTGTCCCTTTTGCGCGCACCGAAGCAATAGCCTGCATCATCTCGCGCAGCAGCTGTACGGCAGTGATCCATTGCTCGCACCTGCTGCAGGCACCTCGTGGCGAACGAATGGACGGGGGGGGGGGGGGGGTCGCGTTGTTTTCCACCCAGTGCCCACAAAATAAACCCACAGCTGCCCAGTAACTCCTGTAGAAAAAGTTGGCGCACAAAGGTGGCAGCTTGTTGTTGCATCTCAATCTGGGAGAGCAGTGGTACATAAGTTCATGCTCCTCTTTTTGGGGGGCCAAGGGAAGCCCATCTGAAGTGATCAGTAGCCGGGATGGCCCAGTTTCGTATCGCAGAAAGGGTGACTTGACTTCCAAACATGCCCCGAACTGTTTACTTGCGCCTCCAAGTTTTTATTACCGGATGTGTGGATTGAAGTTTCAAGAGGAAGCTGCTTTGGGGGACTTGGGGAACCTAGCTTGGGAGGGACCGGTCCCTTTTTCATTATATAAATCAAACCCTGTCCCTTTAGGCTCACCCCTTACTTAGTGGCGTGGATTGGTGTGGATTTGGATTTGCACCCCTGAATCTAGGTTAATGGGAATCACACCAACCTCCACACCACCAATGCTGTGGATGGACAAATCCTGCACCACCTAAGCCCTGGTTGTTGATGCTTCCCCTGTAAATACAAACAAACCTGATGGTTTCAACCACGGTTTCATGGCGTGGTGCGAGAAGCGGATTTCGCAACCATGCACATCTTCTAGGGGCAGGGTACTTAGACAGTGGGTATAACCCTGCTTATAACCCACTTCCCAAACTACACTGGCCCTTTGAGCAGCGAAAGCAGGGAAAGGTTCATGGGAAACCACCCCAAGCTCCACCCCAAACAAAAAGCTGATCCAAGCACCAGGGCGCTCAGCGCGGAATTGAAGGACACCACATCCCCGCGCAGCCGCGCACGCGGCATTGCGGCCAGCAGCGCCAGGGCGCGCTGCCATTGGAGGCCTCTCAGCTAGAGCCATGCGCGTCAGCGGTTGTCTTCTTTTTGTTGGGGGGGGGGGACGCCCAAAGTGGAGTTCGGAGCTTTCCTGCTGGTTGTCCTTTAAAATCGCAAACAAAGGGTACCCTGAAAAAAGACAGATCCATGTTTGTTGGAAACTGTTCCGCTAAATTGTCAGCTTTGACTGGAACGTGAAACTTGGCTGATGCAATTTTCAAGTTTCAAGTTTAGCGCAAACAAAAAGTGTGATCCAAGACCAGCTAGCCCAAACAGGCTCTGGTCACTGAACTTATTGCGCGAAGATCGGAGATTATGTGCCAGCTAACAACATAACAATACCGCGTGCCAGGCCCTTCATATCTCAAAGTCCCATGTCTGATAACCTCGAAACCATCCCTTCAAGCAGCCATGAGTTTGACAAAGGCTCGTCTGTGTCTGCTGGAAGGACCAGTCCTGCAGACATGAATCAAAACTGACCCCTGAAACTGATAAAAGAGAAGCCCTCCTGGAGAGACTCCAAATTTTCGAATCAGTGCCCTGAACCCTGTTTGAGGCTGAGATCCCGCCTTTGTCACAGGCGCTGATGGCTGCGTTCCAGCTAAGCTCGCTGGGCGATGATTGCTCTTTCCTGGGCATTGTGAGAAACAACATTTGCTGTGATGTCCCAAAGTTGCTATGCCCCACAACTTTGTCGCTTCAACGGAGATATCCATGTTTCAGGGCACTCAAAGACTGTTTGACGGGATCGACTTGGCAGGCCTTAAGAGCTCTTCCACTGGCCGAGTGGCCCGGGGAAGGTTGCTTTAACAAACGTTGGGAAACACAAAGGAGGTCGTGTCAACAGCGGTCGAACCACGGTTAACGAAGGAAGTGGCCAACCCTATCTCCAGGGCTTGCTGGGCTTTAGGCAGTTTATCGAAGATAATAGCATTTATTCATTATGTGTTAATATAAATGTTTGTTGGCTTACACGCAGTTCATGCTTTGCTTGGCCATGGCAACTAGGTCCTCCAGTGGAGAGGTTAGAATAAGTGTACCTTATTTTCTGTAGTCTGTTTTAGTAGGGGAACCCTTCCCCAATTAAAAAATAAGAGGGCACTACTGGGGGACCTAGTTGCAACACCCATGCGGAACATCCGAGGCTCAAAAACAGCAGCGCCACTTCCCAGCGCTCTTCACAGGCTGAGATCAGCGCTGGGAAGGTAAAGCCGTCAGCTTGCAGCTGCGCCCTGGTCAGGTCCTGACGGGTTTGCCGCGGCTGGGTGGCTAGGAGCGCAATGGCGCATGGGAACATGTGCCTGGGAGGGCTCCCTAGAACCCAACCTTAAAAGGCACTGAGAAAGGGAATGATGGAAACATGTGTGTGTGTGTGAGTCCGAATAACATTAAGTGAGGCGGGTGGTCCTTTGGGAGTCCTTGAAATGGCACTGAGAAAGTCTGCAAATGGCGGAACTCGTTCGCTGCTTACCACTAAACTTGTGTCTTCCCAACAAAGTTCAAGTCAACCAACCAACAAAGGATGCGCATTTTTCCCATGGCTCTCTACTTGGCATCTAATTAAATATGGGTGCCACGAAAGCATGTCGTAGTGGATCCCTACAAGGATCAATTGGCTGTGGGTCAAAAAAGGGTACCCAAAATGGAAGCCTGGCAAATGGAACCAAGAACTAAAACCAGTGGTCCCCTGGTGGTTGAATTTTGACCCAATTGGCCTTGACTCAAGAACCCAGGAAGTGCTTTCTCCCATCTTGCTTCCTCCAAGAGAGCCACGGCGGCGGTCCACTGGCCGGCCCGGCCGCAAGCCAGCAGCCTGACGAGGAATCGGATGAATGCCATGGCCCTTTTGCCCCAGCTGGGTGTGCGTCAAAAAGAGGGTAACCCCAAAATGGCTTGCCCTGGTAAATGGAACCAAAGACTAAAACCTGCGGTCCAATTCCTGGTGGTTTAATTTTGACCCATACCCAGCTGAAAGCCTTGGGGGCAGACCCAGAACTGTTACCACTTGGGCCTCTGGCTCCATGAAAAACACGAATGCATCCAAAGCAAACCCACTAGGAAGGAAAGCTTCCAAACTCGCCTGGGCAAATTTGGCTGCCCCATTTGTTTTAAGGGGAAAAAACAACAAAAACGGAGCTCCGAGAAGAACCCAGCCAACCCAAGGCTTGCCATCAAAAGGGAAGTCTCACTTGTCCAAAGGACTCTGAAAGTTCATAGATGGGGAACCTGACTGAGTCCTGGACGACCATCGTCCTATTCTTCGGGGGAAAAAACTGAAAAAACCTCTGGTGCCATGTTGGACGCGAAGCTTTGGAAGGCTGAGATCTTGCATGATCCCAGCGGCTCCGACCGATTTATTGAAGCCACAAAGCAATCCAAGTAACTGCTCGCCTGCGCAAATCTGGGAATTACAAGGCCAACCTTTTACATTGACCAACATTGAACCACGAGAGCTCGGCTTCAAACAACTGAGGCGTACCACCCTGCAAACCACTCGAAGCCAGGCATACCTTCCTCAATTCATTCGCTTCACCCGTCAAAACTGTTCAACTCCAGCTACCCTGAGAGAAACTGCGGAGGGCCATGAACTAGGCCGTAGTCAGACCTTATAAGCTCCAGAGAAGCAACTAGGATAAGCGTTTGACGTCAAACTTAAAATCAGCCCCCCCCCCTCTCCCCGCTGATTTCTGGATTTGGCTCGGGGGCAACTCTCACCAGTCCCAGCCGCGCGGAGTTGTAAGTCACCAAGTCCGGCGCCAGAATTGCGCGCATCTCCTC